AATAAATAAAAATACAATTTATGAATATGTCAACTGTCAAATTAAGATAAAAAAATCAAGCTGTCAAATTGACGTTTCATCAAAATGGCCAGGTATAAGATGAAGGCCACAGGCTGACATATGCAGGTTTTTATAAGTGCTTTTAGTTGGATAGATGGAAAGTAATTCGTATGAAATGTGCCTTTAACAGATACATATGTAGGTCAGACAGAAAGCAGGATAAGATGCATCGATCTGCGGCCGCCGCGAGGGAATCTACGTCTCGTCCCGCCAGCCCGACACGCGGCCATCTTGCTTTCCTACATCGATTCGTCTTGTTGATATCTTGTACATGCAACATAACATAAGAGATTAAGAAAGAAAACAAAAATTATAATGTTTCTAACAATAGCTTTCGTATTTTGTTGGTTTTCTTTTTATTTTCATAGGTTCACCTTTTAAAAAAAGTAACGTTAGGTCATTAATGTATCCAATTATGAATTTACGATGTTATAAAAACGAACTTTCATATTAAACGGTATTTTTCGATCGATTTTAAAGACTTATGCGATCGACAGTTCATTACGTGGGGCAATGGCTTGGCTAATTGCAACGTGTAAATCGTGAGCCAAATATTGCATATCGAGCACGAACCGGCTTGACAACGCTCCGCGGGGACTGCAAATGAACCTCGATTTAAACACTATGAGCTTTACCATAAAAACATTGACAGTGTTTGAAAACCAATTTATTTTAAACATACCTTTTTCAACTACAACTATCGCCCGGCGCAGATTTTCGGCAATACATGTTTATTGAAATCAAAAATACATGTTTATTGAAATGGAAAAAAAAGTTATCGAGAACAATAAATAACAGAAGTTACTTATACCAAAAGCAGATATATTTATTGTGAAACCAATAACTATGATACTAACCATATAACCAATCAGTGGCGGTCAAAGAGTTAAAACATCTAACTATATATTTTTAGGGTGACAACATTACCTCATAACTAAGGGTTTCCAATGTTGAAACACTTGTATTAAAACGTAGCTATACCAATGCGTTGCTTCTCATTTTGTTTATAAAAACAGAAACAATAAAATGTTTAAAATTAATCTTATATCAAATCTGTAGAATTTTATGATAAGCATTTTATAAAAATAGCATTATTAGGAAGCTGTTATAAAAATTGATCATTTGAAATGAGATAAGATTAACTATCAGTCGTAAAAAATCCTTCATTAATAATTCTGTCCACTCTATTGTGTTATAGCTCTGTACATATCGGAAAAGTACAAAGGAAATACGTCAGTTTATCGCAGCAGATAGCAATCAGTGGCAGTTAACGACTAACTGCCATAGAATTACTAACTAACACTAACTATTCAACACGTTAAGTTTTCCTTGAGCCGAAAAATATCCGTGTACTTTTGTATGCCTTTGAGAGATTAATCGTTAACACGACGCGGATTTGAATTATTAATTTCTAATAACACGCGATCTAAGAGTGAAGTAAGTTATTACATATTGTACAATTATCACATTTTTATTTAGTAGTAATATTTTTTTCAAGTATATTACTCTTTAGTTTAACATTTTTAATAATGATCAGTTATTGTTTTGTTTCCTACGTTACTGTGTTCCAAATTTGAACCACTTAACTTTACCAACGACAAAACACAACTATTTACTCGTAGAACGAACATCTATTAGGGCGGAGCGAAAACGACGCCTACAGTTATTATCTTATAGTTAATACTCTTACGTAATATGCGTCACGGTAGCACTTCTATTCCTACATTTAAAAATAAACGTATTAATTGGTTAATTGCAAACTTCAGTATTACGACATTTACCCTTTTCTATTTCACTTACGGGGCTTCGTTTCCCAACATTGTAACCGAAATAATCGCCGACATTGAACAAGTTAAAGTAGACGTAACTTTAGAAAAGCTTAATTGAGTACAGAATTAGCTTACGGATTGTGTTTAAAAATAACCACTAAGTACTTTTTCATCCTTTGAAATGCGTCATCGTAAAGGTAAGGGTCCGTTAAAACAGGGTTCATTGCAAATAAAATTAGCTTTGATTGAACGAGGATTTAATTTTCTTTGCACTTTTATCAAAAGAGAGGGTTAATGACGTGCAAATTAAAATCAAGCCCTGTTTAAATCTTTTGTAACTCAATTTGATTTGAGACTAGCTTTCGTCCGCGACTCCGTCCGAATTAAAAAAACAAAAGTGAGTAGCCTATGTGTGTTCTTCCAGACTGTCCTCTACATGTATGCCAAATTTCATCGAGATCCTTTCAGCGCCTTAGTCCAACCAAGTTGGATTTATTGATTACTATGAATATCATAGACATAGAACATAGTCTGGAAGAACACATAGACAACTTTTTATGTTTTTAATTCCGCGCTAACGAAATCGCGGGTAAAACTAGTTCAGAATTTAATAGGTGAAAACAGACGCAGTTTAACTATTTTTAATTGTGAAAGAACATGTCGACATCTGGTGTTTCCCAGGAAGCGGTGTAAAGTATGCACCTCACAGTGTGTTCCAAGAAATGCAGGTAGCGTTATATTTTCAATGAAATAACACCAACGTGCTACTCAATTACGTCCTTCGACGAACATTACAAAAGTGTCAATTATACCGGTGTCATTGACATAAAATACAACAGTAAAAATATATGTTCAAGTCTCAAAAGCGTATTGTTTTCTAACTGTACGTATTTATGGGGTAATATAACACAAAGTGAAGACATTTAACATTTTTTACCTCATTCAGGTTGTAAAAATTGACCAGAAAATTGTAAATGGGCAACAAACTTCGAAACAGGAAGTATTCTTTCATTCATAAAATATTACAAATCTAGTCAAAGCGGCTATCCCAGTGAATTGTTTGTAAAATAATTTACAACATAAGGTCGTAATCAAATAAATTAATATTTTAAAAGAACGTTTCTTTGTGTTACAATTAATAAAAGTTACAAAAATGAATTTGAATGTTTATACGTAGAAATAGTGTAATAAAGTCAAAAAAATAAAATAATAGAATTAAATCTTAATTCTTACTTGTTAATACAGTAGAACCTCGATAAGTTAAAGTTCAAGAGAAACGCAAAATATTTTAAGTTATAGAGGTTTTAAGTTATCAAGGGTCTATGTTCTGGAGGTTTTAGGCTCTGATGGGTAAGGGACATAATATTATTTTTTGAGGTTGTAGAGGTTTTTAAGCTACCGAGGTTTGAGTTATCGAGGTACTACTGTATTATTAATACGACAGTTTTGATAGATGGATTTTTGTTAGAAGGTATTTCTAAAACGGTTATACGGATCGTGATGACATTTGTCACAAATGTAGAACATAATCAGGAACAACACATAGAGTACCCACTAAGTTATTTTTATTTCTGCGTGCGAGTCGTGTGTAAAACCTAACAAAGAATAAGTAGTAATAATAGGAGATCAATTGAAGTAAGTTATAATATAAGAAATACGTGTAGAAACAAAATATTTTTACATTAAATTATGTTTTTTACATTACATAAGATGGATAACCTATACAATTTTATTTGTTCTTCCATTGACTTGGTTTACGAGATCTTTAATTCTGCTACTCCCACATTATCAGTATCATAAATGATGTCATACTTTAATATTAAAATTATCTCTGAGGTATCTTGTAAAATCGGGAAGTCCGTTGCATTTTGTCCGCAAAGCTATTTTTATAACCGTCCAGTCTATATGCGTTTAGTTTCAATTAAACGAGACAGGACTAAAATGTTATTCTCCATTGCTCGATTCAGCCAATATAAGTGGATTATTAATCGATTTTACTTTATAATTAGCTGTTCCCGTGCGACTTCATCCGCATAAAATTATAATAAAAATATTTTGTTGTTTACATGTGTCAAATTATCAATAGCAAATATTAAAATAGCATGGCATGACCAATCTTGGCAATCTTGCTTCCGTAATGTTGGCAGCAACTTATGATTCTCATATTAGGGTTTTTATCCAAAATATTTACGCCCTAAGTTCAATGACGTGAAATATATAGCTTAAAGCGTGACGTATGTGTAGGGCTTTTTATTAAAAAAGATTTATTCAAATATATGCAGTAATTGCTGACATCTTAGGTAACAAAGAAGTGTGTGTTTACGCTTTATTATAATAGTATAGAAGTATAGATAAAGGAATGTAATTTTATAGTATATTAATTAGTTCTACTCATTTGTTTTAATTGATTAATGCTGAAGTTTTCATTTATTTTATTATAACCTAGTGATTTATTAGGAAAGTTAATTTCAAAGGAATAACACTCAAGTTACCTAGTTCAGAAATGCATTTCAAGAATTTATCGAACCAAAAACACTAATAAATGGGTAAACGAATCTGGGAAACTGACCATAAATCGGTTCATGGTTCATATTGGTGAAGGTAAACAAATATTTTTGTCAGTTGTTCATGTAACTTACGTAACACATTTATATTTGTATTGACACACTTAAAGATTTGAAACATTCCTCGATAGAAATCTTTTTAAGAAGTTGAGAGTGACAAAGACATTGTACAATAATTTAGGCAGTTAAAGCCCATAGTCACATTTAGCGGCTATGAGAATTACTGTTACCAACTGTACCCTTACATAATACAAGTGACTGAAGTCACACTTGACTTTTTTATTGGATAATAGAGGATAATCATAGAGCAGTTAAAGTGGTATTGAGCGCATCTTTACCGCTTGCCGTACGTGTATTGAACTCTTGTTAACTATTTAAGATGTAAAGAAAAAGAATAGACAACGTAAATAATATTTAAGATTACCAAAAATATTCGTTGGAATTGACAAACGCAATAAATATGCAATTCAATAAAAAAGACTAATTTGGACCCATTTATAAAGCAATCAATAAATAACATTTCTTAAAAAAAATATCAATCATAACTTGATAATTAAGGGATCTTAATTGTGAAAATAGCAAACTAACGTTAATTTTCCCATTCCAGGCGTACGTCACACTTGCAGTGATCGTGTCCGCCGCTGTGGCGCTAGTATCGAGTAGTGTTGTCCAGGCACCGGGCAATGGCAACTTCGAGCTGCTCATCTTACACAACAATGACATGCACGCCCGCTTCGAGCAGACCTCTCAGCTCAGCGGCGCTTGTACCACCGCTGATCGAGAGGCGGGCAAGTGCTATGGAGGTTTTCCGAGAGTAGCTCACGTGTAAGTGAACCTTTTGACTGTCATACAAAGTTATAAAGTTATGCGCGGTTTACATTTAGCCAGTACAGTTGGTTGGCAATCAGTAACTGGAAGGCAATAAACTGGCACAGTGTGAGCTCTAACTCGTGCCAGGGAGTCTATACAACTGGCTGTCGCTACTGTCCAATTGTACTGGCCAAGTGTGAACCGGACATAAAGCGCAGATTGAGAGAGAAATCTACGCTAAGTGGACTGCGTCAATCATCTATAGACTGATAACTTGGTAAATGCGGTGTATTGTTAATACAATTTAATTAGTGAAATTCCAGTTAAATTAAATGTCCAAAATTCCTGACACGTTGATGTAGGTATAAGATTGATTAAATTTCTGAGTAATATAAAAATCAATTAAAACACATCTAAACAATTTCACTGTTTTTCCAAATAAAAATTGTTGACTCATCCTAAATTCGGTTTGCAGTGTACACAGCGGTACTGCAAACAAAGCCCACTTTATTGCAAATTGGAACAACGGACGCCGATCAACTTACAATTTAACCGCGGAATATTACGCCATTTTGTTTTTTGTTCCAGGACTATGTGCACAATATGCAAATAAAAGGTCTACAAAATAGTTGTATGGAAAAAACTATGTACTATATTTATTTTGGTTAAATGAAACTACAAAATAAATTTGCAATAAACAACAACGATAGAAACAAACGTTATAAAAAAGTAAACAACGGCCCTATTCACCCCATACATTACATCCATTTGTAAACACAAATTTTCTATTAGAAATGCTTCCATGTCATTTCTAGAGATTTAGTTATACTGTAAAGCCAATTTATTCAGACTTCTCCAAACAAAATTTACTTTAGATTAGGACTCGAAAAGGTAGGGCAAATAGTCGAATGCAACAGTTACGGCTACTTTCGTCATTCCCTTTTTAATCCATACAATCCTCTCGTGACTCGAATCCCGATCCAATTTATCCCAACCCTAATTATCAGCCGACACGAATACCCTCTCACCAGAAGGGAATGAAATCAATCAATCATTGGAGATAGTGGAATTTATTTTCAAGATTTAATTTAAAGACGCAAAATAAAAAAAGAAAACCTTTGTGATTAGCCTAGCTGATCCTCGCATCTTCCTTCGCGCGTAAATATTTTTTTTAATAAATAAAGCCAATGTTAGTGATAACAATAATGTTGAAAGAATTTTTGAAATCGGTCTGGTTATAACTATATTTCAATACACAGAACAATCCTTACCTTTTAAACTTAACATAATACTTTATTTGACAAATTGTGCAAAATACCGCATATTTTTTTTTTAAATCGTTACATTACTAAAAATCAATATGTTTATTTGAATATAACATAGCAAATATAACAATGCAATTTGAGATACATATTATGTGTTATACATACTCCTGTTTAAATACACACAAGACATTGTCATACTGTCGCAGTGTTTACTGAAGTTAACGACTCGCTGACATCGCCACAAACGTTCCGTTTCTCACAAGACAATGCATTACTCAATAAATAAAATTACAGCAGAATAAAATAATTGATTTAATTAACATTACTAATTATATAAGTATAGTGAAACTTTAGAATTTTTTGTAAATGACTAATTCAATTGAAACGGAATTAATTCTTATTTTCTTTTACTTAATTCCAGAGTGAAAGAGGCAAGAAAAGCAGCCGCGTCGGGCGAAGGTCCACCGGTTCTGTACCTTAATGCAGGCGACACTTACACTGGTACTGCCTGGTTCACCATCTACAAATGGAAAGTCGCTGCTGAATTCCTTAACGCATTACAGCCTGACGCCGTTGTAAGTACTCTATATTAAAAGTTATCAGTTCGTATGAAATGTCTGCCGTCCTTTTTCACGTATTACAATATGCAAACTTTATAATCGCTTGTATTAGCTGCTTGTTGTGTCTGCGGATACCTAAAATTGTATTACAAGCCCTACAAAGTTTGGATTGCGTTATACAATTCGTGCAAAATAACATGTAACTTAAAGTGACGTCATCGACCTCTTGTCCATGTTGTTGTGCACGGTTATAATGTAATAGTTATTTTTGTTGTGTTGTTACGCTCTATATGTTACATCAAGATGTGTTTGTATTGCAATTTTCGTCAATTAAAGGCCTAGTCGATATTCACCAGTTTTAACTAGTGTACATTAGAGTCCGTAAAGTATATTAATAAACGTTACACACGAAGTGCGGTTTTAATTTTATTAGTAAAAGATACTCCTGTTATTTGTATTCATATTTTGTTTTTGTAATTTATGTTTTAGGTATTTTGTGCTTATTTTTGTTTGTTATGTTGCGAATTTGTTTGTGCAAATTACTGTCGCTTATAAAGTGACAAATTATGTTTTATGTCACATTCAATGATTATTAAATTCTGTCATTGTCAACTGATAAATGAAAATCTATAATTACTCTATTACATTGGCTTCAGCTGAAAACTGTAATCATCTTGTTCGCATTTTACATTTACTTTTATTTGTAATAACCGTTTTAGGTTATTTAATACATTATCAAGAAATAACGTTATACTGATCATTGTACGTTTACCTGAACATTATTTGAGCTTGTTAATTATACATCACGGCATATTAATGGTCTATTATGTACAAAAAACTACCTATCTTAGATATTTGGATGTTGGATGTGTATTGAATTTCGCTTTGAGTCTTTTTAAAAGGACACAAATACACAAAACAATCAGTTAAAATTTAATATTCTACCTGTAAAGTCCGTGCGTAAACAAAAGGTCGAATGTCAGTTTGAATAAATCGTGCCGGCGGGCAGTGGCCGAATGCAGCCTGATTTTCATTGCTGGAAAATTTTCTAGCGTTGACAGCTTTGTGGCGTCGGGCTATCTATGTATATACGTTTAACATTACATACGCCAGCATACATACGGCTTATATACCGACGGAAAATCAATACTTGACAACTTGTTGCCTCGCGTTTGGTTATATAACATGATACGAAATAAACTCGAAACAAAGGGACGCAGTTCTGTTTTATGTCGAATTGATTTCAATCATTTTGATCTCATAACTTTATTATTTAATACTTCGGTTAAATTTCGTTGCCCATTTTACAAAACTTAGTACTTAAGTCGAGTTCTAGATTAAGTTTTACTTTAAAGCTAAGATAGTCGTCAACTTACATTGTTAGAATTACTAAGTTCCCTTCATTTCTTTGCACATTTGGGAGATAATAGAACGTTGTAATGGACAGCGATTACTTTACGTAACTTAGAGTCCTCAAGAATGTTTGACGCACGAATGGTTCAGCGCAGCGTATTATATCTTTTGAATTATTTGTCCAAATTGACCGTTAAAGACAAAGGTTATCTTTTTAAATACCAGAGATGATAAAAATGTTTTATTTGATAAAAAATGGTTATTTTAGACATGATGCACGTTTGCAATGCACGTATTAAATTTCACTTGTGGCAGAAAAATTTTAATTATACCAACATATTTCTAATCCAGTTCCTGATTTGATGTTGTGCTTTAGTTATGTAATTCTTATCGAATAGTGTCTTTTTTATCATAATACAGTGAATGTAGTGTTACAAAAATGATAGAGCGGGAATAACATGAGGCACGCTAGTAGACCTGATCGATGAAATTGTATTGTCACCAACCGTTATTAACTCTACCGCCATTGATATCAGACTCGTAAAATAATTGCCACTTCCTTGTAGCAAACAGAACAACAATTATATTCTATAGTGTTTTAAGACTTACACTTTTATAGCTAAGCTATTTTATTTATTGTGTATCAAAGAGATTCAAAAAATAATTAGAGTAAGCGTTGACATTTTTCACGTAAACTAACTAGCGCTACCTGGTGTCCGATATTCAAAAACTAATAATTTATACACTGAGGAAAGTCTCGGCGTATCAAAGACATTGAGATGTTACCGTACAAAGAAGTTACCAGTGAAAAAAAAAATTCAATACGTCTAGTCTATATACTTCTTAAATGTCTTTGTCGTATATGTGCAATTTAAAAACAAACTTTCACGAGTTTTTTTATCGAATTCCTTTACTCTACAAATTCAATCTCAAATTGATGCTAACTTAAATACCTTTAAAGTTATCAACGAGTCTGGACTAGAAATGTTATAACAAATACTATCTGTTTAAGACATCTGAGGTCATTTGGTCATGGTCAAGTATTTTGGGGCCAGGGTTTCTAGATTGAGGTTTAGTTAAGTCAGTTACAATACAAATTTAGTATAATTCAAACATAAACCATGACGTTGATAAAAGACTAGCCAGTAGCCAAATGGTAAAGATTGTGGAATATATTATTGTTAATGTATACTAACATTATAAAGAAAAGTTTTGTATTTTTGTATTTATTGAAATAACTCTAAAACTACTGAGGCGATTTAAATCATTCTTTCACCAATAAAAAGCTACGTTACTGAGTAACATAAGTCATATTTTTTATATTTCAGTTAGTTATTTATAATTCAATTATCTTCAAGATGTTAAAGAAACATTGTGTTCAATATTATGCTAAAAATTGTCTATTCCTAGGGGCTTAACTGTGCCCCCGCTAAGGGTATACGCTGCTACGGGTAACTTTGTTAGAAACTATCAATGTTGTAAAATATAATCCTAGTGAGAGTTAATGTAATGAACAGCACAATCGATAATGTTATCGTATCGGAGATTTGAAGCTAATCGCCTATCATAAATACGTAAGTTAATCCTTATTTCGTTTTATCTTATGACTAACATTATAATAAAATAAAAACTAATATCGCGCTGTAAACTAACTTAGTCTTAGAATTAGAATTTGGAATTAAAATGAAAAAAAATATAAGTCTGATTTAGAACACACGTAAAACATTTTTTTATATGCTTTTTAGCGGTTATTATGTTATATGGTATTAAGGAATTTTAAGGATGCGGTAAAGGGATCAGTGTATTTTGTTTTACAAATGCTTTGTATGTGTTTTTGATGTGGTATGTAATGTTTTTGTCATCTTTAATATTACATTATATGTTTTCTAGGATTAGTTATAAAAAAATGCTCTTATGCGTTTCTTTAAAGATTTTTCTTTCATTCTAAAAGCCTTACTAAACAAAACAGCTTTATTGAAACAATTGCCAAATAAAATAATGTTTACTAATAAATGTTAACTGTTTTTCAGTCACTTGGAGGTAATGATTTTGAAAAAGATTCTGCCGAATTATCACCGCTAGTAAAAAGTATAAGCACTCCTGTACTAGCCACTAATATAATTTTAAATACTGAAGAAAAAGAAAAACTACAAAAGTCTATTATATTTGACGTAAAAGGACATAAAGTAGGAATCGTTGGTTTTGTTACACCGGAATTAAGTATACTTGATAGTACTGGTGCTGTGGAATACATAGACGAAGTAATAGCTATAAAGGAAGAAGTTAACAAATTAAAACAACAAAATGTGTCAATAATCATAGCATTAGGACATGCAAATATAGATAAAGTCATTGAAATAGCAGCTGAAGTTGATGGCATTGACTTAATTATTAACGGACATAAAAATATTTACGGATCAAACGGCAACACGAAGAATTCACAAGATGAAGTCGAGAATGAAATATCTGTAACACAACGTTCAGGTAAACGAGTACCAATCATCCAATCCTTTGCTTACAACCAAAATTTAGGTAAAATCATAACCAAATTTAACAACAACGGTGAAATATTAGATCACCAAGCTGAGCAGATTCCATTAGATTTCTCCGTTCCTCAAGATTCAAATACTCTAACATTAATGAAGACATATATGGCAGATATTGATTTACTAAGTCAAGAAGTAATAGGTAGTACCGCAGTAGTTCTAGATGGAGACACATGTAAATCGGAGGAATGTAATTTTGGCAACTTAATTACTGATTCTATGATGTATTACTATTCTATTAGACATCAAGGTGATCGTTGGACTGACGCACCTATTGCAATCATTCAAAGCAGTGCTATAGCTACATCTATCGCACCACAGAACCGTCCAGCAGCTGTAACTAAGCGTGTTTTATTATCTGCTATACAATCTGAAGGTAACATAGTCGCTGTTACAATATCTGGAACTCTATTGAAACAGGTGCTGGAGCATTCGGTCACGGACTATCGTATAACTGATCCGTCCGGTCGATTCCTTCAGTTCTCCGGCATTCAAGTGACATATGATATGGCTAATGCACCAGGTTCTAGAATAATCGATGCGCTTGTTAGATGTGGGGCGTGTTCTATACCCCAGTTTCAGGCTATCAACGATTCGACGGAATACACAATACTGATGCCATTGTCGTTAGCAAACGGTGCAGAGGGATATTCAATGCTTGTTGCGCTTCCTCGCAGGTTTTTAGACTTTGACGAAGCATTCGGTGCTGAAAGATACATTGCACAACGTAGTCCAGTGTATCCTGAAGTATCGGGTCGAATTGTGGTATTTAATCCAGAAAAAGCTTCAAGTTCTGCTTCTACGACGGGCACTTCGATTACTCTTTTAGTTATTTTGTTAACTTATACTTTTGGATAAATACACACGTGATAATGTAAATAAATGTATTTAAAATTAATGGGGTGTTTTATTTGATAGAAATGAGAAATAAAAATGTTGATTTATGGGTGTTTGTTACGGACTAAAGTTTACAACGAATTAACTTTAATAAAATAATTTATTTAAGAACAAATAGTTCACAAACGTGGCGTGAAAAGTGATTCTAAACCAAAGTCTTTCTCAGTAAGTACATCAATAAACAAAAATTGAAAAGATTTTAAAAAACATCTTGCAAAAATGTTTTCATTATAGCATAGTTTTGACTAAATCGATAAAAATGACGTTATTTAACTCTTAAACTTGCATTTTGTTTTCTATAAGTGGTAAAACACACACGATGCTATAATGAAAAGTTACTAACAATTCTGATTGGAATATGACATGCATTTTTCAGTTTACTTGTTTGCATATTTTTCCAGTTTACTAGACTACAAACTGTCTACTTTCTTCCTAACGCTTCTATTTTAATTCTATAGCAAAGTTAACACAGCCAGAATCTATTAACAAAAACAAATACAGAAAAAGAATACTTTTTGAATACATTGATCAAGAGAAGTAGACATCACACGTATTTATTTTTGTTAACTAACATTTTTCAAAAACTTTTTTTTGAAAACAACAAAACAGTTTGTAATTTTAATTGCATTATATTTGTAACACATTTTTTACGAACTTAAAACTTCTGGGCTTCTGTGCTAATAATGTTTTATCTGTGCATCATTAACTAAACGTTTATAAGTAAAAAAACAAAATACACAACCTTAAAAAAATAACATTACTTACTCTATGTGTGTCTGTGTTATTAAATTAATCTTTTTACTTAATAGTAATAAGATTGTTTTTGTTGATTTCAGTCCCTTGGAAATCATGAATTCGACAACGGTATCTCCGGCTTGACGCCATTCATTGAAAACTTAACATGTCCAGTGCTCGCAGCAAATCTTATTCTGAATCGGGAACCTTCACTGGAAGCCCAAAAGAATTTAATGAAATCTATAACACTTGACGTTAAAGGAAATAAAATAGGAATCATAGGTTACCTAACTCCTGACACGAAAATTCTAGCAACACGAAACAATGTAGACTATACCGATGAAGAAATAGCTATTAGAAATGAAATTGCTAAATTGAAAAAGCAAAATGTTAAGATTTTCATAGCGTTAGGACATTCTGGATATCTCAAAGATTTGGAAATAGCAAAAATAGAGGATATTGATCTAGTTATTGGTGGACATACTAACACTTTTCTTTGGGATGGTAAAACAATAGACAGCGAAAAAGCGGACGGTCCATATCCTACGCTGGTTAAACAGACTAATGGAAAAATAGTTCCAGTAGTACAAGCGTATGCGTATACAAAATATTTGGGCAAATTGCGCCTAGTCTTTAATAGTAGCGGTGATATTATTAGCTTCAACGGTACTCCTATTCTACTTGATAACTCAGTACCACAAGATTCCGAAATTTTAAAAATAGTGCAAAAATATCATGAAGATGTTACGAAATTAACCGAAGTGGTCGTAGGGAAAGTTTCAGTTATCTTGGATGGTAGATCGTGTCGACTAAAAGAATGTAACATGGGCAACATGATTACAGACGCAATGGTACACAAATATGCATCAGAATATTTTGGTGAAGGATGGACAGATGCGCCTATTGCTATTATGCCAGGAGGTGGTATAAGAGCATCAATAGTACACAAAGATCTACCAACAAATATAACGAAAGGTGACCTTCTGATCGTATTGCCTTTCGATGGAAATTTGGTCAAATTGTCAATTAATGGATCAAATATTTGGAAAATGTTAGAGCATTCTGTAGCAGGTTATCTGCCTCTCCGCCCACCGGGAGAGTTTCTACAATTGTCTGGACTTAAAGTGGAATATGACTTCGAAAGACATCCCGGAATGAGAGTCAAAAGTGTATCCGTTCGTTGCGGCAATTGTTATATACCCACGTATTCTTTGTTAAACAGAACTGAAGTTTATAACATACTGATGCCTTCATTTTTATCAATGGGCGGATGTGGTTTTTCTTTATTTATCGATCTACCTTCAACTTCTTTAGAGTATGACGAATTACAATCGACGATTGATTACATTAGAAACCATAGACCTCTATTTCCGGCGCTAGAAGATCGGATAATTATTTATAATTCTGATAAATTATCAAAAAGCAATGCAACTTCAACAAAGTTGTCATTTTATTGTCTTCTACTATTACTGCTTATAAATCTGTAACGGTTAATTGATTCTAGGGTTTTGGTGTGCTTAGCGTACCTCAATCCATATCTTAAACTTACAATATTTTTGTCTTTTCTAGTCGTAAAAGAAATCTCTTAAAGATGATAATAAGGTGCTTTGAATGTTAATTACGAAATAGATTCAATGAGGGGCTGTGAGATTCATAAATATAAAATAGTATGAATTTGATTGTCAATTACAAGGAACCATGTAACAATGTGAAACATATTAATATGGTACATATATTTTTTTAATCATGTAGTCCTGTTACTTAGTGTTAACATAGCTTTTTAATAGTGCAAGATTTTTTAAAATCGGTCCAGTAGTTTTGTGAGTTATTTCTAAACGTACAAAAATCCAAAAATCCAAATCTTTGTAATACTAGTTATGTAGTTATATGTAACTAACGCTTGTAAAGCAAGTTTAGAAGTGCAATAAAATAAAATACAGTAATTAAAATATTGACGTCATGAGATGTTGTTGTATTTGTAACCTGTATTTATTTTTGCGACTTATACCTGGAAAATATATTTTAATATTGTACATTTTTTTTAAAGTACAGATGTTTTGGGATTTGTTTAGCTTTTTATACGTAAAATTTGACCAATTTGAATAATTTTACCATTGACAGTATAAGGTAAATTAAATGTCATGTGAGTTGTGTTAAGCTTAATTGTCATCCTTCTAAGTAAAAAACTATCATATACGAATTAAATAAATCTACAACACTGCCTATCTATTTATATAATAAATCTGGTTGTAATATGAAAAGACAAATTCCAGATTTTGGGAAGATGATGTATTTGCTTTGCTGATAACGAAAATCGCAATTTAAAAATTCTTGTCTGTCCGCAAGCCGCGTTTGTTCCGGGTAATCTCTGAAACGGCTGGGCCAATTTAGACCAGACTTTCACTGAGGGGTAGTAGACATAGAAGGGCATGTTATAGGCTATTTTTTTTAATTCCGCGCTGTCAAAATGGCGACCGGACCGCTATCTATGGAACGGGTGGACCGATTTGGACGAGACTTTTACTGGAAGGTAGCTGATAGATGCATAAGGGAATGTTATAGACGACAATTTTTTTTAAATTCTTCATTAGCAAAGTTTGCGGGCGACAGCTCGTTTTATCTAAATGCAATTTATGATCTGTTATTTCTAAATAGCCACTTTAGTTCATACAAATTATTAGAACAGCCTGTTGATAAATATGAGAATAATCGAAAACAATTGAATTGATTATTAATATTGTTTTAGACACGCGCAAAATCTAATTTAAGTGTAATAAATAACATTAACACGTATGGGCTACAGCGTGCATTCATTATAACACATTGCTATTGCTTTGAAAATTTTAATTTGGTAATATTCAGTAGTAACCCTTGATTCTTTTGTTTCAGTCTCTTGGAAATCACGAGTTTGACAACGGAGTCAGTGGACTCACTCCCTTTATACAAAATCTGACAACTCCCGTTTTAGCAGCCAATTTAAAACTAAACAATGTTCCCGAACTTGCAGCCCAAGCAAACCTTAGAAAATCCGTTGTGTTCAATGTTTCCGACGTAGCAGTCGGTGTAATTGGATATCTAACTCCAGAAACAAAAGTGTTAGCTGTCCACAATAATGTCGAATACATTGATGAAATAGTAGCTCTTAGAGACGAAGTCAAAAATTTAAAAAATGAAGGTGTTAATATAATTATCGCACTAGGCCATTCGGGTTATTTAAGAGATCTAGAAATAGCGAAAGCGGTAGATGGTATAGATTTAGTGATCGGTGGACATTCAAACACATTTCTGTGGAATGGAACAACGCCCGATTCTGACGAGATTCAAGGCCCTTATCCTACTTACGTTACACAAGCGAGCGGGAAGCAAGTACCCGTTGTACAAGCGTATGCATACACGAAATACCTTGGAAAACTACACATGGTATTCAATTCTAACGGCGATGTAACTAGCATAGATGGGAACCCTATCCTATTAGATAATAGAATACCTCAAGATCCAGAACTCCTACAAATCGTGGAACGATACAGAAGAGATATTCTTAACATTACTGAAGAAGTTCTAGGACAAACGTCTGTCGTACTCGACGGCTTAAGCTGTCAAAACAAAGAATGTAATCTCGGAAACTTGATAGCGGATGCAATGATTTACCGATACGCGACGGATTACAAGGGAAAGTATTGGACGGATGCTCCAATAGCAACGATACAAGGAGGTGGTATAAGATCGTCAATAGCAAATACGAAAGCACCTACAAATATAACTAAAGGAGATTTATTAGGTGTTATGCCGTTTGAAGGTATATTAGTTACAGCTGAGATGAGTGGAACAATATTGCTGCAGATGCTCGAATACGGCGTATCGAATTATGATCCCTTAGATTATCCTGGTGAATTCCTTCAGGTGTCAGGAATCAAAGTGGTCTTTGATTTAAGAAGACCATCTGGCTCGAGAATCGTGAAAGCCGAAGCCAGATGTGGTTTATGCGATATACCAAGTTATTCAGAAATTAAACCTGATCAAACGTATAAGATTATAATGCCTAACTTTTTAGCTCAAGGTGGAGATGGTTATTGGATGTTTAAAGGCTTGTCAACACAACAGTTGACTTACAACGAACATGCGGCTACTGTATTCTATGTGACACATCACAGTCATATTTACCATGGTGAAGAAGGAAGGGTGATACTTATAGATGGAAATGAAGCGAATATATCAATACGTAATACCCCTTCACTGTTTATATTAATATCTGTTATTATACTAAATTGTTTTAAATAAATTAAAAAATAGAATTCTAAAGATTCCTACTTTTGAATCGAAATGTATTAAAGAGGCATTTAGGAAAATAAGTATTAGTAAAGCACAAATTATGAAAATAAAACGTAGAATTTTTAATAAGGTTGTGAAGTATTACTTTAAGATAATTCTCAAATATAATTATTTCGCTCGCATAAACATTAATGAAATGCATTTTGAGGTTTCGATACCGCATTTTTTTAAAACCCTTGTAACATTCCCAGTGTTGCAACGAGTGAAATCTTTAGATTATCTGTTATTAAAAATAAGTTAGAGAATACCGATAGCAATTTGAATAATTTTATAACTCTTTGACCCGTAAAAAAATGAAGAACACTTTTAATAAACCACAAAGCCAGATTTAGATGCTCAAATTTAGACTTTAATGTAGAGATATTTATTTTGATATTTGATTATATAAAAATGTTTGTTTACGCCACGGCACGCCATTGTTCTAAAATTAGTGTTCATTTGACCGTATGACTAACGTTTAAATTGGCACTAATTCCATAACAAATCGATAACTTATTAGCATGTAAAAGATAGTAAAATGTTGCGTCATCGGTTTGATTTGATTTAACTATCGCCGTCCAAAAGATGATTGTTTATTCTTAACCAAATCATGAAAACCGTGGATTTACATTGTCAATGCCGTCATTTCATTTAAAAACAGTGTCAATATGTTCTAGCAGTGAAAATGTACGGTTACAAGGATGTAAATATTTATTAAAAAAATGAAACTTTGTCGTAAAAATTTCATTTTTACTGTGAGTTTTTGTGACTGGCAAATCTTTATTGTTTAAATTGGATCTTAAGATTAGAATTAAAGTTAAGAAAGATTGTGTGGAAAAAAAATAGATTTAAGTTAGATTTAATTTAGCTAATATATGTTAAATGAGATTGAACTGAAATAAAAACTTAAAACCTTGAACATCTATTTATTACCGTAGAATTCGAATGACGTCACACTTGTATAAATACCTATTGTTATTTTTCTTGTTGCTACGAATGAAAGGGATGACAATGTAAGTGTTATGATGTGATTTCGCCTTACAAGACTAACATATACCACGGACTATAAAATTCTGCAGCTAAAGTAACAAGGATGCATGTCATTCAGCCACTTTTCACACAACCTGCTAAATAAAAAACGCTTGTAAAAACAATTTTTCTCATACAAAACATCCAACAATCAAGTATGGTGAATATCGACTACTGCCTAAACTTAAGAGAGTTACTTATTCTTTGAATAAATTTTGCAATTTAACCATTTCTTTCAGTGTCTTGGAAACCACGAATTCGACGAGGACGTGGACGGTGTTGTACCCTTCATCAAAAACTTAACGACGCCGGTACTAGCTGCCAATTTATTACTAGACAAAGTACCGGAACTCCAGAATATAACTAATCTTTACAAATCGATAATGATATTAAAGAAAGGCGTAAAAATAGGAATCATAGGTTATTTAACTCCAGACACAAAATTTCTTGCACCAAAAAACAATGTAGATTACGAAGACGAAATACCAGCTATAGGAAGAGAAGTAGACAAATTACAAGAAAGGGGAGTTAAGATTATTATAGCGCTAGGTCATTCAGGTTTTCTTAAAGATATAGAAATCGCCAAAGAAGTTGACGGACTAGATTTAGTAATTGGAGGTCATTCTAACACGTTCTTGTGGAATGGAAATGATTTCAAAGAATCGCCGGAGCATCCGCAAGGCTTTTACCCCACAATGATTAAACAATCATCAGGTAGAATAGTTCCAGTGGTTCAAGCGTATGCTTACACTAAATATTTAGGTAAATTACATTTGGTTTTCGATTCATCAGGCGAAATCTTAAAATGCTTTGGCGATCCAATATTGTTACATCAAGAAATACCTAACGATGAAGATGTTTTAGCTATAATAAAAAGGTATAGAGGGGACATAGATAGAATTAATAATGAAATAATTGGCAGCTCTTTAATATATCTCAATGGTGAACAATGTCGTTTGAGAGAATGCAACTTAGGTAATCTAATAACTGACGCAACATTAAATTATACGAAACGTATTAATAACAAATACACAGATGTAAATATAGTATTCATCCAAGGAGGTCGAATAAGGTCTTCTTTGGGTGGTAGTGTAACGCCATTTAACGTTACAAGGGGAGATTTCATCACTGTTCTACCATTTTCGGACACTTTATCCGTGGTAACGATGAATGGTTCGATATTAATCCAAGCTCTAGAACATTCTGTAGTCTCGTGGCGTACAATAGATAGTCCTGGACAATTCTTACAACTAACAGGCGTTGAAGTAACCTATGATCTGTCAAAGGAACCTGGAGGTCGAGTTAAAATGGTTAAAGCGATATGCACTGATTGTGTTGATCTAGATGATGTCCGGGATTACTTGACCTATAGGGTAATAATGCCCGGTTTCTTAGCAGAAGGTGGTGATGGTTACAGTATATTTGAAAAATTACCAAAGGAGATATTATCTTATAACGAATTGTCATGTACTTTGGATTATTTGAAAAGATATAGTCCTATCAATCCTGTACAAACAGGACACATTACTGTTCTTAACGAAAATGTAATCATTGAAAATGTCTCAAGAATTGCATTTAACAATGAAATAGAAAATTCCAGATCTAATGTAAATCACATAAATGTAATCTTATTAGCAACAATTTTTATATGTCACATTTATTCATAGATTCAAATATTTAGTTATAATTGTTACAATTAGAAGAAATTTTAAATTTCTGTTATTTATAGAAATGATTTTTAGGTATTTTATGTATCGTATTTATTTATAACATAAAAACTTTATGGACACGTGTTCTAAATTTAAATAATAAAAAAAAAACAAATGTTTGTAAATAATTATCACTTTAATATAGTTTTTAATAATTTTCTTATAAATTTTACATGTTAATATCAAATAAATGTAACACAAACCTACAATATAACAATATATAGAATATTACAGTAAAAATATTTAATATTACAAATTACAAAACAGTTCAGGTTTACAGATCTACATTGATAAGTAATTTTGACCGACTTCCCAAAAGAAGGAGGTACTCAATTCGTCTGTACTTTTTTATTTTATTTTTATGTGTGTTACGTCATAACTCCGCCGCTAGTGGACCGATTTTGATAATTCTTTTTTATATGCAATGCTTACAGGTGGGTCCCATTTTTTTGGTTGATTTTTTATAAAATGTTGTTTGTAGCATAAATATTGTAATATCCAAAAATCACATTTATATTAAACTTATTATATAAATAACATTATATAATATTGAACAATAACGATAGTAGATATAAATTCAAAGATAAATAAATTGTATTTGCTTGTATAACTAAATGGGCATATCTAATAGTGGCACTGATTTACTTAACTTTATTAAACATAAGCGTGATTTCACTGCAAAAAGACACACAAAAACGGTATTACTGTCTTATTACTTGAATAAAAGTTTTTGTATAGGTATTTTTTTGGCAATGCAAGGTCACAGTTAGAAAATTTAACATTTATAAACTAAAGATCTGAATCAAGGATAGAACAAATTTAATATTGTATACAAAAAAATCTTACAATTAGATAATAAGTAAAAAATAAAGATCTGAAATTCACTGTGTTTTATTGAAATTTAGATTATAAAAAAATAAACAATATATAGAAATAAATGACAAAACTGAAACTGTCAAGTTAACTAAGAAAAAAATTTGCGCATTTTAAAAAAAGCGAGAGAAACATAGAACATACTAAAAGAGCGACAGAGAAAGAACATTTTTTACCGTATTCAAGCTAATTATAAGATCTGAGTTGTCATTTTATAAAAATAAAATGTTAAACCACTTTGTAAAAAAAACATTTTTTTTAAATAGTAGTTTTTTTTTACTTTTAACACATAATAGCATATTATAATGCCGAACAATGTATGAATATTGGACACAGTTTTTTCTGTACAATCTCTAATGCAGTTTTTTCTACATTAATGGTACAGATTATAAAGATAAATGACATAGATAATGGAAGACTTTTTAAAAATTCAAAATATTTAAATCAATCTTTAGGAGGGAGAGCAGTCCATGGCACCAATATTTCATTACCATCAGAGAGTAAACCAGAGAATATAGCCAAGCACTGTTTCAAAGCCTCTTGACAATCTAAGAGTTCCACACAGGGTGCGTAAGGCTCAAGATTTTTGCACAAACTACATAATGATTTAAAAACTTTTTTTGCAGTAAGAGAATTGCCTTTTTCTAAATCACCTATAACACCTTTACTTATTAAAGAATTTTTAATACTTTTCAAATTTGCAGGAACATGTATAGATGGTCCCATACTCAAGTAAGCAGGCCAGTCATTAATGCAAGCTTCGCAAATGCAGTCGAATTTGTATTGGAACTTGAGATTTGCCCGACGAGCGTCTCTCTGCTCCAACGCGTGATGCGCTCTGGAATTAAAATATACATTTTTTGTTTTACCAAGATTCCGCAAAACCTTACTGCAGTGTTTATTATTTAAATCGAGATAAGACAATGTAGTCCTTTAATGCCAGAAAAACAAAGAAATCTATAAAACTAATTAATTCAAAAGAAATATGTCATATAATTTGAATAATCCTAGCCTCCTAAACCATTTAGCCTCCTAAACCATTTAGCCTCTCCAGGAAAGCCTATACTCTAGTTTAGTTTAAAAAATACCTACCCATAGTTGTCAAACAGTTGCATTCCTTTTTTGATAGGACGTAATGCTATTAGGGACATCCTGCCGGAACCTAACTTATTGTATCTCACAACATTAGGAGCACAAGAATGGTTCAACAGGCTGTGATAGCCATAAGGGGCACTCGCCAGATTCACCTCTTTTACAAAGACACCGTTTGTATCCATACTTGAGGTAATTCCATGCATATTAGTAGGACTTGTCATTAAATGAAGGAGCAACATTCCTGCGACAGTCTTTACTACAGTCTCATACAGTTTTTTATCATCTACTTGGAGAAAATTCGTATCTTCTTTTAAAAACTTTAAAAATACAGCACCAGTAACAGATTTCTGAAATATATCAGACACCGAACGTTTATCAATATTGCTCTCTAAAGTGTGTATTGTAGCATAATGTTTTGAATCAAATATCCATTTGTCATCTAATTTCACATGGCCTCGTAACTCATTGCTCATATTAACTTCCGCATCACTAATTGTTTTAAATAGTTCCAGCCAATTGTTATGGTCATTACGTGCCTTTATTACAGTTCTCAGAGCTAGTAACTCCAGTTTAGTAAAGTCCATAGCAAACAATGTTGCCATTAATTGACATTCTACAGCATGGTACTCTTTAAAAGCCTTATCCTTACAGTCAGCGCTACAATAGAGAGCATAGCAACAACTTTCACATGGATACAAGTTTAAATTTCTTGAAAGACAATAGCTGCAACTTAATATGAATTGTGATTTAAGCTGCACTACCAGATAAGGTTCTTCTTCAACTAATACATCACCCACATTTATATCTTCTTTGGCAATCACCTGGCGACCAAACTGTTCAGTAAACAGCACCTCTAACTTTGAACTTGCACATAGATATCTAGGATCTTTTGTACTTTTCATAGCCATAAACTCATTGAAATCAGGTCTTTCTTCATTTTTATTATAATTTTTAGATAAGGCTTCTTTACACATTTCTTTCCTTTTCAGTAATTTATCATATAATTCCTTAGGGTACTCCAGAGCGAGCACTTTATCTATGTCAACTAAACATTCCTTAAACTTTTTTAAAGCTAATAATATAATTGATCTATTTGATAATGCATAGCAGTAGTTACTAGAATTAAAAGGAGCATGTAGTAGAGCCAAATTATAGAATTGCCATGCTTTCAAATTCTCATGTAACTGGAAACATTTGTTGCCTTGGTTACGGTAATATGTAGACACATTGTCTGATTTTTTCACTATGTTAAGTGCAGGAAAGCAATCTAAATCCTTTACCAATTCGTAAACATACAGTGCTCGTTCATCATTGCTTTGCAAAGATAGTAATTTACTAGATATATCTTTTATTTTACCCTGTGTCGTCAATTTTAGAAGAATACCTTCATACAAGTGATCTATAATCATTGTCTTAATGGTATATGCTGAGAGCCGATAATAAATAGAAATGTCGCACTTTGCAACACCATTTATTGTGATAAATTTAGGTTGTGAGATGATATACGTTGTTGATCAGCGATTAAAAAGCCAAAATATTCCCATGGATAAATCCGAAAGAGGTTAGTTTGATTTGATCTGCAATACAAATTAACAGTGTAATTATATCGAATGTACAATAATCGTAAGTAAATAATATTTTTCAGTGCTTACCGATATAGTTACGGTGCTCCTTCATCCTAAGCTTCAACAGGAACTATTTTTACCTCAGCCGGTGGCGGCCCATTCAGTTATAAAACAACTTTTGCAAGATATATCATGTGCATCAATTATGAAACTAGATGAATATTCGATGAATAAACTGTGGGATTTAATGACTATGATACTAAAATGGCAAATATCAATTACAAATAATCACAGCATTTTTGACATAACTCGCCGACATTTGAAAGGTGTGGCCACACTTCTGCCGGATAATTTTTCAAAAACATTTTTTGATAATGTTTTGAGGCAAGTCCAAGTTTTACAGGAAAAAATTTCAGATGAGGCCTATAAATGCTTATATAATACAATACTGCTATGGTTTTCTGAATACCATACAAAAATATCCGTTTTACTTAGATTAGGTTTACAAAATAAAGATGGGACTTTCAATTCTTCAACAATTATAAATCCGAAGATTATTAAAAATTTAGGTGAAAATATATATAAATATGATAATAAAAAGAATTATCTTGAAGAATATGATAAGCATGCTTCTGATAATAATGAAATAAACTGTTTGTTGGCACACATAGAAACTGGAAAAAATTCTAAAAAAACATCTATTCTTCAAATAAAGTTGCCACTAGAAATGGAGGGAAATTCTAAAAGAATTCTTAACATAAACAAAGATTACTTTGAACAAATTCAAACAAATGTTATAGGGAGAGGAAATGATCTTTCTTTTGTAGCCGACATCCCTAAATCACCACAAGAAGATCTTCTGAAAATGTTAAATGATATCTAAAATTTAGTAATTTCCCAATTAAATTATAGAATATTCAAGCACATTTCAATAAATTAAATATTAGCATTCTTTGAAAAAAATAAATGGAAATACTCAAAAATACTTTATTCACAAAACTTTTTACAAAAATCATTGGTTAACAAATACTTAATTAATAATTATGCAATAATTACCAGTAAAAATTACGCTAACAAGTTACAGGTAATTTTTGTTTTGATGCAGTAATATCATACATCGATTTTACTATCTGGATTAGAAATTTATTTTGTCTGTCAATCGAAGTGAGGTTACCCTAACACTTCAAGTTAAAATAAAACTGCTTTCATGTCCAATACTTGTGAGTTTACATTGTCATATCACGTAAAAAAACAATTTCCTCATAACAAAAATATCTAGTTATTTGTTACCACAACACCAAATTCGTCTGATCCGGTGGTCGATGACTGCACGTTATGGTTCGAATTAAAAAAAAACATATACGAATTGATACCTCCTTTTGGGAAGTTGGTTAAAAAGATATAAATCTACTAATTGAATAGAAAGAAGTCATGAAAAAAAACTCACATTGTGATGGCTACTTAATATTATGATTACACTTTAGCAAGACTTCATATTAATACTACAATATCAGTTACAAGAAAAAAACGAAAAATAGTAGAATAAAAATCAACTAAGAGTATTTTACAATAACATAAAAAAAATATGTGGAATTAAACAATTAGTCAGTTCAAATAAAAACAGTAGCTGCAGTTAATAATATTTATGTTTTAAATTATTATTTTTCAAATAGATAAAAAGCTTCCTGGTTTAAATGAGATTTTTCTACTTAACCTAATTTAACAAACAACCAGCGCATATTAAAGTACTTTAGCATTATAGAAAAAAATACAACTCAACGTAAAACAAAGCACTTATTTTCTACATTATATACAAAATAAATAAGCTCTCACTCAACTGGGGTGGACAGTCTATTGAACTTTTAAGATACTAAAGGCTTGTCCCACCAAATTGTAAATTGTCTGATAACAATTCAACATGTAAAATATGTGATGCAAATATCTGATTTTGTTACCTTCTCTGACAGTGACGTCATTTTTAAGCTATCTGAGCCTCTATCAGCCAGTGGTGGGACAGGCCCTTAATTTTTCACAACAAGAATCACTTTAAATTCCTTTATAGGTTTATGAGATGGCTTATTTATTTATCTTTAAATCTATTTACAACATTTCGTAATTCATTTTTGCATTAATATCCTAAAAAATAACATCTGACATATATAGTAAAGGAGTTACCACTTTTCGTATTTAATTCAGCACAATATAATGAGTCTGTTATTATTTATTAAAGAACTTTGATCCCTCATATGTTCTGCAATAGTCCTATTTATTACAAATTACAATACTTCGATTAAAAATACTTGTAAAAGAAAATGAATAAGTTTTTTTGTCAATAAATAGCATTTTATCGAACAGTGTTGTTTTATTAAAAGAGTGTGAAAGCAAATTTTAATTTTAATCTGTGAATTTTTTATTGTTTCATAATTATGTAAAACAAAAGCATAGAAAAACACATCACATCAAAAAAAGGTTTCAATTATGTCAAAAAAATAAAGTTAAATGTTTTAAAAACTTCAAATAGAAAAATTGTTTCTCATGTCGTTATTATAGATGTTTAGTTTTACTATTTTACTATACTAACTACATACAAAAATACTATTTTAGTAATATATCTCTAACTTATCGTAAACATTTCTAGTTACCCCTCTGTTATTCTTGCAACATTGTTAGTAATTCACAATTTGTTTAGATTTTCCATATTTATTTATTTAGTCCAGATTTTAATAATCGCCAACCCTAAGTCTGTCCAGTACACCTCTTAAATATTAGTTTAGTTTCTTTAATCGACAACCATAGTCCATTTGGGTTCCATCAACAATCCTAAAACGTTAACTTCTGTAGATTACAATTGGCAACCCTAATTTATTAGCATATTTTCCAATAATCGCCAACTATAACCCACTTTAACACACATAACTGGAGCACATTTAATGTTACAAAAATCTTCACGAGATAGATACTTGCGTTGATAATAATGGCAATATTCGCCAACAGTCCACTTGGAAATAATCAACACACACTAAAAACTGGCACATATTTGATGCTACAACATTCTGGAGTGTAATCTTGAGGAATTAGGTGAGAAGCTGCTATCAGGCAGTACACTTGCGTCACCATAAACGGGTGCGGGCACACTGTGTCCGTTTGATGCGTACGGGCTACGCGACCAAGTGCGCGCGCGCGCCACCGGCGTCTCCGGCAACACTGTCTGCGCAGGCGGTGATGGCATCCGCAATTTCCCTCTACTCTGCATATGGTGTTGTACTAGAAAAAAAATATTTTATCAATAACTAGCCCTTCCAGTACAGCTTCGCCCGCATAATACATACATTTATAAAACTTTTATTGCATATGTTAAAATTCAAATGCTTAATTTATATTGCCTTTGCCATTGTCACCATGCTAATTAAATCTTACTAATATTATAAATGCGAAAGTTTAGATGGATGGATGAATAGATGTTAGTAAGCTTTGACGGTTAAATGGATCTCGATGAAACTTGGCACAGATGTAGAACGGAGTCTAGAAAAACACATAGGTTACTTACTAAACTTTTTTTCGCGCGGACGGAGTTATAGGCGAAATTGTCAAATAAATCGATTTTCCTCAATTTTTTTGTTTAAAAAATGAAATAACATAAACTTACCATAAACATATGCTCCTCCCATAGCAATGATAGTCATCAAGGTTGGTAAATACGGCTTCAGAAGTGAGAAGATCGCTCCCAATAGCGTCCCACAGCCAGGATCGCCTTCCCTCTCCACTTCTACGGTAATATCTTGAGCTGTTAACTTCGAAATAACGTGCACGTGTCCACTGCCACACGTCACTTTTTCACTTGACACAGTTACTGTAATTTCACTATCTTTGGAACTCATTTCTATTTTAAGACCAGGTGATGTGGTCAATTTGACCAGCTTTAGTGCTTGAGGATGTCCAGTTATGGTGAAAGTAGCTGGTGGATGGGCTAAGGAGACTTTAGTTAATGGTACTTCTATTGGAGGCAGCAATTGCACTCTAGTACAAGTTCTGTGCGGGCCCCATTCGGCGCATAATTCGATTTCTGTCGATTCGATTATTGACGATGCTGGTATTATTGAACAACCCAATTGACCTGTAAAATTTAATATTTTTTTTAGTTTCCTTCATAAATTTAATCTGTATCTATACTAATATTATAAAGAGGAAATATTTGAATTTATGTATGTATTAAAATAACTCAAAAACTACTGGACCGATTTAAAAAAAATCGTTTACCAATAAAAAATCTATGTTATCAGTGATTAACATAGGTTTTATTTTGATTTTAAGCGGATGAAGTCGCAAGCAACGGCTAGTCTTTAAATAAAATAAATTTTATTTTCTACATAAATTTAGATGTTTTTATTACTAAATAAACTTACCATTGGCTATATCTAGAATAGGTTGTGCAGTGTGCGGTGCTTTGGTTCTACAAATGTATGGCAGTTCCACTTCTATCCCTGTTAACGCGTACTTCTGTTCTTCCGAGCACAGCAACGGTCCCTTAGTAAGACCGCTAGCTTCTAACGACAGCGGTACCATAGAATACGGCCATTCTCCATGTAAAAATTCCATCTGAAATGTTATAAATATTATTTGTCTATTATCACTGAAAACCACTGCCAATATTTATTACTAGTAAACATTTTTTAAATCTTGTGCAGGGGAAATCGCAAGCAATTAAGTCTTAGTGTCGAAATAGTATGACGGAATTTAAATATGGCCAAGATTTTTTATACTCGTTTGTTGTGAAACTAAATAGTTGTGTTGACTGGAAAACAATCGAGAATCGCTTGTGCGGTTGTTTAGTTCTAGGTGTGCCCGCTCTTAAGAGAGTTTAACTCAAAATTCAAACTGTCTGTGTAAACAATAAAAAAAAAACTGCGACAACTGCGACGACTGCGCAATTTGGCGACATTATTTATAAAACATTATTTTTTTCGGATGTAAATAAATAAAACACTGAAAAAAACTGTGAAAAAAAGTTTATCAGCGAAGTGTTCATTCGTTTAAGTTATTGGCCGTTAGATGGAGTTTTTTTTTCAAGTTATTTAAGCTGGCGCTTGACCACGATCCCACCTACTGAAAGTGAAGATGTGGTCGAAAGATGGTACGCGCTACCCTAATAAAAATATTAAACAAGTGTTTAAAGACGCGTGGTAACCTTATTTAAGGGCAGTTGGTGCAGCGTGAGAGCAGCGGGCGGGCGGTCCAGCCGCAGCGCGTGCCTGCCCGTCTCCGCGCCCAGCACGGCCAGCGTGACGCCCGCGCCCGCGTGCAGCGCCACCCCCGCCGGCGCGCGCCACCCCACGCCCTCCAGGCACACCGCCCAGCCGCCACACACTAATAACATAAAACAACTCAATACAATCTATACTATTATAAAGCGTAAACACACGCTTCTTTGTTGCCTTAGATGTCAGCAATTACAGCATGTTTTTGAATAATTATTTTTTTAAATAAAAAGCCCTACACTTGCGTCACACTTTAGGCACAATTTTATCGCCATTAAACTTAGGGGGTAAATATTTTGTATAAAAACCTAATGTGGGAAAGAGACCATAAGTTGCTGCCAACATCAAGGAAGCAAAGTTATCATGTCATGTCATTTTGACATTTGTAATTGATAACTTGACAAATGTAAACAATAAAATATGAAGTCGCACAGGAAGAGCTAGTAATAAAATAAACACAATAATTTAACTACGGAGGTCAGCATCACAGGATATTTTGGAATGATTATCTATACTTCTATACTAATATTATAAAGCGTAAACACTATACGTGTTATGTAGGATATCAGCAACAATTATTTAATAAAAAAAACCTGTTACATGTTGTAAGCTATACATTATCATGCTATTTAATTTTGAGGATAAATTAAGTCTTGAGACGGAGACAGAAACTACAAGCCAATACCAGTAAAAGCGTTGTTATGGTAACGGTAAAAGTTAGCTAATGGCAAAGGCCTTCAATGTCATTTGAGCATATGCATATTGATATTTAAAATTGTAAGTTTTATAGTTGCTACTTATATGAGAGCGAATAAGATTTTTATAAAGTTAACCATAGTAAACAAATATTGAAAAGTATACACAAAACAGACATATTCAGTTTTAAACAAAATATTACTTTGGGTTTTAAATACTTTGCTATAAATTTTCATAAGATTCAGTTATAGCAGTAGCTTACCAATAATCCTATTCCCGTGTGCTTCAGATCCAATGACCAATACTTCATCAGTGACGGTGTGTCCGCCCGCAGTCGCCTGGAAGGTTGCGAATGAACCAATCGTGTCTAGACCGGTGAACACAATCTCACTACCTAGACCGCTGAAACAAAAAACCTAATAAAAACCTATTTTTTACTCACACGACTACAGCCTGTAATTTGCTCAGCCATGAAAACAACGTTGCCGTGGTCTCGTCACAATTAGCCCAGCCGTTCTGGAGATTTACCCTGTAATATGCGACTTGGGAATGGACAGACAATTTTTTTATGTGACTGCTTATCAGCCACTCAAATACATCATCGTGATTTTTTTGTTTTCTATATTCCATACATGAGCATCGGTGGCTCAGAGATTTGAGCACTTGTTGAGGTGACTTGTAATTCACAGGTCTTGGGTTTAAATCCCGGCATGTACCAATGTGATTTTCGAATTTCATATGTACATAATTTACGATGTTCTGATGATGAAGGTAAACATCGTAATATCTTTACATATCGGCGTAGAAATTCAAAGATATGTGTGAAGTCAACCAACACATAGTGCAGCGTGGTTTGAATATGTCATAGTCACTAACTTAAGGCAGGCTCCGAGCCCCTCAGTGGGGACAGTATAGTGAGCTGGTGATGGGTTTATTCGCTAAGTTTAATTACCCGGTAGTTGTACGCCTGACGTGTGCAGGCACAGGCGCAGTAACGGACACGTTGGCCTCGTGCGCGATCAGCTCCCGACCCACAGAGTTCCTCATCACCACGCGGACAGCTTCATCATCCGCGTCACCAGCGGGCTCCGCAGTGCAGTAATGAGGTGTTGCCACTTCCACGTGGATTATCTGAAATTATTGTTCATTTTATTTACACACCTCTTATATAAAATATTTAATGGTTCCTTTTAGAACAGAATACGGAAATATTCTAAAGACAGATTTGTATAAAAATTATAGCAAAACGTAGCCATTTACTAATATTATAAATGCAAAAGTTTAGATGGATGGTTGTTACAGGTTGTAGCCTAAACTGTTGAACGGATCTCGATGAAATTTGACACAGATATAGAACACAATCTGGAAACACATAGGTTATTTACAAGTGTTTTTTATACCGCGCGAAGTCGGGTGGTAAAACTATTATAACATAAATTACCAAATATTAAAAAAAAAATAGGAATACAAAATGAACCCATTTGTTTAAATTTAAAGTCATCAGAATTAACATAAAACGGCTTTAAAAAACCAAAAATTAACTCACCGTTTCCCTATAAATATTATTTCTCTCATCTTTATGTTGTGCTGCAATCACTCCGTGTCCTGGTTTAATGCCTTTCACGTCACCATTAGGGGTCAATTCAAACACGCCCTCGCCGTATGAGGTCCAAACGCACCTCGGTGTTGACCTCAGACGTACTGACGACCCAACAGCGAGAGCTAATCGTTTTTCAGAAGATAAATCGACATTTGTACTATCCATAGATATGCGTATATCTGATATTCCTAGTATCTCAATCGTACTGTCCCATGATCGAGTTTCTGCCACCTAAAATAATAATACATACTTTTAAATGGCTCCTATGGAAAGTGTCTTAAGTTTAAATTACAAGTTTTGTAAGACAAAATTTTAAATATTGATACTGTTCCTTACGACTAATTTAAAATAAACATACTAAACACAACCTAAATGTAGTTTTTATTTCCATCATTATTTACGAACACAGATATCAGTATTATCAAGTTACATTTATAAAAATAAAACTAGGTGTAAACCGCAAAATTGTGGTTTACTATAGTTTATGTAGGAGCCATCGTAATATTAGAAATGCTAAAGTTTAGACTGACGGATGTTAGAAAGTATCTCAGTGCAACGGATCTCGACAAAATTTGACATACAGATTACTTATTAAAAAATCTAGTCATTTAATGCAAATGTTATTAAAACAATATCTTCTTTGTTTTACCTGTCCCATGTTTCGAACTCTGACGTCTATAGTTATAACACCCGGTTTCAACGGCACCACGCGCACCGCCAACCCTTCAGCTATTGATCGCTCCAATAAATCTGAAAATTAAAGTAAAATCAACTTAGTGGAAACATACACTTTAATACTAACATTTGTTTCTACTTAAGTGATACTAGAAACATTTGTTTCTTTAAAAAGGCGGCAACAGAGCAAACTACCAACGGAATTTGCTAAATAAGCGAGTCGACCTCCATACATAGACATTCCTATTTGTTTGCGACCATGCTTATTTAATCAACGGAAACGCACGAAAGTAGATGTTTCCAGTACTTATGTGTGGTCCCCTAGCCCATCAGATTTACTTCATTTTTCCATTCTTTTCTTCTGCAAAAAAAAGAATGGAACCGAGTTTTTCCCTTTCCATTCTTTTTTTCTACAAAAAAAAAGGGAAACACCTGGTGCACCGACCCTACGGGAGTAGGATGAAGTAGGGGAGATGATAATGATGGTGCAGGCCTACCATCAATATGTCCAGTGTAGAGCCTGGCGGCGGCGGGGTCGCGCAGGGTCCAGAGGACGCGCGGCGGCGGCTGCACGGCGGCGAGCGCGGCCGGCGCCAGGCCCGTCGCGCGCACGCTCAGCGGCCCCGGCGCGCCCACCAGCAAGCTCTGCGTCGCCGCAGACACGCGCAGCCCGGAGATCGGCACCACCTACACGACACTTTGTACTTATTAATCTATACATCATCAACTTGCCCTTATCCCTTATATCAGCACAGTATGTGTTGCTCTTCCATACATTTCTATCAGCCGTCGTATCTGAATCCACTCCTTTCTTAATCATACCCTCTTCAACACAAATCATCCATATTTTCTTCGGTCTTCCTCTTCCTTTGTAGCCATCATTCATTCTTAATTCTTTCAGGTTTATTTCCCAACGTCTCGTCACATAACATGTCCATACCACGCTAATCTTTTGTTTCTCAATTCTTCCACCAATATTTACTAATCTATACAAAATATACAAAACCGAACGTTTTGTTTGCTATAACCAAAATATGACTAGCTTTCACTCGCGACTTCAACGTGAAATTAATAAAAAGTATGTAGATTTTGTGTTCTTCCAGACTTTCGTTTAGGCTATAACTGTAACAAACATTCATCCGTCTAAACTTTCGCATTTATAATATTAGTATAACATAAAAATGTTGAGCAAATCTAATATCTTGTCTTTGAGTATCGTAACTTACTGACCAGAAACGCTTATTGTGTAAATTAGCCCTTCAGAAAACACCTATTTTGGATGTAATATAGCGGGGCATGTAGGTGTTTTTGATCATGTAAAAAGATTTTATTACTAAATGCTGGCATATATAAGAAAAGCAATGACAGTATTATGAACCTCAATTTCGGCCTCCGCACTGGCCATCTCAACATTAGCGATGTCTGTAGCGACCAGCTTGACGCGCGCCGTACCCATCGCAAGCCCGTGCACTAGACCACTCGGAGAAACCTGGAAAAGTCAAAAAAACTTATTATTAATACTGATTAATAAAGAATTTAAAAGGTAATTCCTTTGTGATTTCAACGATGGAGATGCATAGGAAGGGAAAATTATCCCTTTATGTGCATCCTCCGTCGTTTAAGGGTAGACTAATCTGGAATAGCGGATGCTTATGAGAAGTGGTCGCCTTTACGGCGAATTCAGGTGGCCACTCGTTCGTTACCTTGTAATATAAAAAAAATATAACAGTTTTTCCTGCGAGAAATTGAAAACAACAAAGTAAACTTATGTATTCTTTCAGACTATGCTCTACATCAATGCCAAATTTAATCGAGATTCAGCTTTTAGGCTACAAACTATAACAAACACACATCCAAACTATAACTGTATATTATAATATTAGTAAAATAATAAAAATAATGACTTCTATTTTATCAGTGGTGTCTGCGAGGCGGTAGTGCAGGTCTGCGAGGTGGTGCGGCGGGCCGCCCGCGTGCCGCAGCTGCAGCCGTGCGCCCGGCGGCACGCGCGCCGCGCCCGGCACCACGCGCAGCGCGGGGAACACCACCACCTGCAACACAATAACACATATGCATGCATTTTTATGGATTATACCCAACCGTCATCCCGCTCTGTCCCTTAATGGTGATAGTGGGATTAAAGGTGGGACGGATGAAATTTTTTATTACGATACATAATCCATTTGATGACCATTGACCTAAAGAAAATTATATAAAATCAAGATTTCCGTGCGACTAAAACGCGGCCTAAATGTGCCGGAGTGTTGTAACTTCAAACAACGACAAAATATTTGATTGGTTCTCAGAGTTATCAAAAGTGCTTAAATTCACCTATAACTTCGACTAATAGCGTTGCGTTTTATAACTTGGCGAGGGAAATTAAAAAAATACACCATTGAATGATAAAATGTGTCTATCAGATTGTAAAAGACACTTACGTAGTAAAGTAGTTCTCTATTTGACCGAAAAACTCATATGCTACAGATAAACTTCAGACCGCTTATGACATAGTAACCTACGTTGAGAGACATTAAAATAATTAAGGTTAAGGCGTATAAGTTGTGGCGAACAAAACCGTAGACCACTAACCATAATGAGTAGCGGTTTTGTGTATTATCGGTTTGACTGAAAAACTTAATTTGCTTTATTTCTATAGATATACATTAATATATAGGAATAGGCAACATACATCGATCTCCGGGCTCCAGACGCCGGCGATGGCGGCGCGCACCCTGGCCGCGCCCTCCTGCACGCCGCACAGCTGGCCGTCCTTAAGGCGCAGCGCGCCCGCCACGCGCCACTGCGCCGGCCGCGCGCTCGCCACGTAGCGCCGCGACACGCCCCGCGCCAGCGCGCGCGCCTCCACGCACCCGCCCACGCTCACCGCGCGCGCGCTCGCCACCTCCACGCTCACCACCTCCTCTATATTCACCTGGAACAAATGTATAATTTTCTTCATTTCATAACGAAATTACTGTAGTCTTTTTTTTTATAACATAAGGTGGCAAACGAGCAAGCGGCCACCTCCATCCGCCAAAATGGCGAAGCGACCGCTGCCCGTAGACATCCGCAATTGCAGATGCGTTGCCTACCCTTATCCGACGGAGGAGGAGACGCACATAAAGAGGATTTTCCCCTTCCTATGCATCTCCTCCACTGTTAAATCCACTTCCCCTTCCCATCCTCTCCTTTTAAGAAAAGGGTGGTAAAGAGAAAGGGACTTAAATTAGGCCTCCGGCACCACACTCATCAGACGAAATACGGAATTGCTTCAATTTCATGCCTGTCTTCTGTGTGGTCGTGGTATTACACCGGGCGTGCCGGCCTATTCGTGCTAAGGTGTTAAAGCGGGCACTACCACTGTTGTCTGCGACTCTCTCCGTCCATGCAGTGTTAAAAATATATACGAAAATAAAAAAAAAACTATGTATTCTTCGAGAACCTGTAATTTTTCGAACTAAACACATGTGTTACTCACATCTCACGAAAACCTTAGACTATCCTCTACATCTGTGCTTAATTTCATCGAAATCTGATTAACAGTTTAGGTCAGCCACAAACTCAAAAAACCATCCATTTAAACTTTCACATTTATATAATAATTTAAAAGTTTTATTTCCAGTCTTTCATTTATTAAGAGTTCTTTAGCGCAGAACATTCCATCTATCTATAAACAGCTACCTTCCAGTCAAAGACAAATCGGTCCACCAGTTCCAGAGATGAAATGAAGACCTGAGCCGTTTCCAAGATTACCCGGAATAAAAGCGGCTTACGGACAAACACACAGAAAAAATTTTAAACGCGATTTTCCTTATCAGCAACAATTTCATCATCATTCTGAAATCTGGAATTTTTCTTTAGATATTACAGACACTCCAATTTTATTATATGTATGGGTATAGATATTGCTATAGGATTTATACGTACTTCGATAAGTTGTTTCTCTCCCAGGACGCAGAGGTCGGAGACGAGCAAGTGGTAGTTGCCGGGCGCGGGCGCGGCGGCCGCCAGCGCGCCGCCCTCCACGCTCGCCACCACGCCCTTCGGCGCCTGCACCGCGTAGCGCCCGCTGCCGCCACTCACTGTAGCTATATCTGATACTAATTCACCTTCCCATGCGATATTAGTCTGGAAATTAACATTTTTAAAATTAGTTTTTTTACAAAATTACTTCCCTCTTAACGTAAAGTGTAAATAGAGACTTCTTTATAAAGGATTTTGGCAATCACGGGATATTATAGATTTAATTTTAATATAAAGCTACTACGACACGCCTTAGGCTATATATTTTCGCCCTATTATATTTAGTTATGTAAATTATAAAAAACTAGGAGTTGCTTGCAACTACGACCAAGTGAAATCAAAAGATCATAAAAATAACCTATGTTACTCACTGATAACGTAGCTTTATAATGGCAAAAGAATTTTGAAATCGGCGCAACAGTTTTTTAGTTATTTCATTGCATACAAAAAACAAATCTTTCCTCTATATAACATTACTATAAACGTTTCTGAAAGAAAGGGACAAAAACTGCAAGTCAATAGCAGCAAAGAGTCGAGATAGACACGAATACTTTCTCAGGCATAGCCAAGGGCCTTTGTTGTCATTTGAACTTTTAAATGTTGACTTTGCATTAAATTTTTTTTCGGAATATTAACCATACAACAAAGTTCCATGTGATGCGGATGTAGCGTATGGGAACAGCTGGGATTTAAGAAATTACGTACCTTGATGGGATCACATTTCAAAGGCGCGACAACTTTAGCTTGTATAGAGGCGGTTGCTTCTCGAATACTGGCTTTGATAGTACCCGTCCATCCTATAGCTTGGTCTTCAGCTACCACCAACTGCAAAAAACACAAATATTTTTTTAATTCATAAAACATACATTTTTATGATCACAGAGATTCAAAACATATATGGACGAAGCATAATTAATACTTTACTTGAGACATTTTTCACACAATCCACTAACGCTATTGGTGGATCCTCAAAACCATGTCAATAAAATTAATTGTATTTAAATTATTTGCCAATATGTACTAAATAATAATTAAATGTTTGTTTTATTTTGCACCACTGTTTAGTTTATTTTATAACAAAAGGTAGAGCTTATAATTTTTATAATATGTCAATACTAGAACACGAGGTGACGTACTAAACTTGACAACATAGTACCTATCAAAGAAGTTACCGGTGAAAAAATATTGTTCCCTATGTCTAGTCTATATATTTCTTATATGTTTTTAGGTAAAATTAATAAAACATTAATTGCTTACTTGATAATAGTTTAAAGGCACAGGCACTGGGGCATATTCGGGATCAGTTTCTACAAACAGTCTGTCCGATGCCGTGAACCCTATTCCCGCGCGGTTAGGTTGCAATTCCCATGACACTCTCGGACCGCTTTCGTCCAACAACTCTCTGCCGATTGCATCCATTAATATCACCTTCAACGTCACTTCTTGTCCTGGACGTAACCATAATCTGGAAATGAAAATTATCTATAATTAAAATAACAACCATAAAATCTGTAACTAACGCTAATGAGGAGAAAAAGTGTCTTATATCCATAAATTTAACATAATCGAATGTACTAAATAGCAAAAACTTCTCCTAAATTTCTCTAAAAACACTAAAAAAAGCAACAATAATGTATAAAAACTTTAATAGATTAAAAATGAAAGAACTGTGGCCACTAGCGCCACCTATAGCTTCTAGTTTTTCTTCCCATTAGTTAAGTGACCTTAAATCCACTCTTAATTACTTTAAGTGCTATATTACTTAACTACTAGCTTTTGCCTGCGACTCCGTACGCATGGTATTATAATAACCAAAGTAATTGTCTTATGTTTCTCCAGACTATCCTCCACATCTTACTATTATTATCAATGAGAAAGTTGAGATGTATGGATGAATGTTTGATAGAGTTTGTAGCCTAAACAGCTAAACGGATCGCGATGAAATTTGGCATAGACGTAGATTATTTGGAAGAATTCATAAGCTACTAAGTTATGTTTTTTTTTTTTAATTCCACGCGGACGGAGTTTCGGACGAAAGCTAGTATATGGTTAATTTAAATGAGATCCATCCAAACTTTGGTATTTATAAGTACACAAACATAATATAAATGTATTTGTTATTGTGTGTTAAAATAAATGGAAATAAAAAAATATAAGTAGCATATGTGTTCTTCCAGACTATAACCAACGTTTATGCCAGATTCGTCGTGACCTGTTTAGCCGTTTAGGCTACAAACATCCATCCATCTATAAACTTTCGCATTTATTAGTAAGATATAGACTTACTTGTGTCCTTCGCTACAATTGCCGGGGCTGGGCGGGGGCTCAAGGCGCATGCGCGACACGTGTGGCGCGCACGACACCTCCAGCTGCACTGACTCGCGCTCCAACTCCGATTGGGAAGATACCTCCAACTGCGTGTCTCCTTTCTGGAATACATTTATTTAAAAACATCACTTTCAACAACAAAAACAATCACATCACTGACAGTGGTAGTGCCCGCTTTAACATGTTAGCACTGCAGGGCCGGCACGCCCTCAGTAATACCACGACCACACAGAAGACAGGCGTGAAGTGGAAGCAATTCCGTGTTTCGTCTGATGAGTGTGGTGCCGGAGGCCTTATTTTAGTCCCTTTCCCTTTACCACCCTTTTCTTTTAAGAAGTGGATTTGACAGTGGAGGAGATGCATAGGAAGGGTAAAAATCCTCTTTATGTGCATCTTCTCCGTCGATAAGGGTAGGCAACGCATCTGCAATTGCGGATGTCTATGGGCAGCGGTCGCTTCGCCATTTTGGCGGATTCAAGTGGCCGCATGCTCGGTTGCCACCTTATGTTATAAAAAAAAAATCACTTTATGTCGGTTTTAATGTCTGCCTGTTCACATTTAGCCAGTACCGACCAAGACAATGGACTGTACCAGACAATAAGCCAATATCGTGGCATTCAGCTGGCATATGTACACTAACCGGCGTCAGTGAATATATAATCCATGCTTAAGATGTCCCGTTCAACTGTTGTTCTGTCCAACTGTAGTGGCCAAGTGTAAACCGCGCGTTATACTTAAAACGTAATAAATATAGTTTAAAAGAAGACACTAATTATTATTTTCATAATTCGCAAGGTATTAGGTGTTAGAGTGAATTTTTCTCGAATTACTTTTATTTCTGTCCTCACTATAAACTTTTCAATATTACAAACAACAATAAAGGCAATAAATAATTGTCAATATATGACTATTATTTAATTTACCCTGCGACATCTTAAGGTGAATACTTCTAGTTCCGGGTACTTGTGTGGTGAGGGTCCATCTCTGTACACCAACTCTGCAACACGAGGGTCGCTGGATGATGGCACTAGAGATTCACCTTCTGCTAACACCTGTAAAACAACATATTAAGAAAAAAGAACCCTTAAATAGACATAACATGCTGTCTTTCTTTAGGTTAAATAGAAAACTCTTTTTTTCTCGATTAACTCATCGTCCATTTAAGCTATATATAATCTTCATATATTGCACATATGTATGTCCATAAAACATACAATACATTTGTATGTTTTTGAGGTTGATGTTGTCATCAATCTCAAAAACCCATGCCAATGATTCGGAAAGAGCACTCGTTCAATTTTTGAGCCCTGGTGTGAACAATGCTCGTTGTCCCAATGATCGCTGAAATTCGAAAGCTAGCCTCCGCCTGCTAATCCGTCCGTGTAGAAATAAAAAACAAATACAAGTAACCCTTGAGTTCTTCCAGACTATATTTTTTTCACGTTTATATTACTAGTAGGATTTTTAATTAATTAAGAAGTGAATTAAGAGACAATGGCAAATTGGTTATAAGTAAAACTTAGAGCCGCCAGAGGGCGCTGTATGTATAGTAAGAGCACGAGCACACCTTTGACTAAACTATCACAACGAATGTCGATTATTTCGCAGCCCAATCAAACATCAAGTAGTGTGCGCATCTCCCTATTAGTTCATAGGAGTCAATGCGCGACAAAACAGTTGTGCGATAGTTTATTGAAAGGTGTGCGAGGGCTGTTAGTGTGAGTGCATTACTGGGGCAGTGGCGGAGATGAGTGCGGCGGCGTGCGCCGGCCAGCGCAGACGCGGCGCGGCGCGCACCGCCACGCGCGCGCTGTCGCCGGCGCGGCCGCGGGACACACGCACCAGCGACACGCCGCGCGACGACCACACGCCCTGCACCACGCAGCACGCGCCCTCTACACGTAACGGTAACACAACATTATTATATCCTACATAACTATTCTATTTTAGTTATTAATCAGTGTAAACCATTCTCATTTTATTGTATGTATTAATATTTATGCTGCATATCTATCGTATTGAATATAAAACATGATTAATAGGTTGATATAGTATGGGCATGTTTTAGAATTGACAAAGAGAATTCAGCTATGGCATTTAAGTAGAAAGTAAATTAAAAAATATATATGACAAATTTTGCAAGCCTTAGGGTGAGTTGCATCAAATCGCTGGTTATCGTAAAAGTTATAATAGGGTTACAAGTGCAAAAACATATTCTCACAGAGGTTTTATGTGTTTATCGTTTATACAATGGAAACATTTAAACCTGAATGTAACTAAAGTGTCAAGTTGGTGTCAAGTATGACATTTACGTAAATTAAAATGTTTGGAAATACATGTTTCGCCGATTATATTTATGTATCATACGCATGGTATTTTATAGTGAAATAAACTTTTTGCCCACGAAGATGGAGAAAATGGCAAACTCTTGTGAAAATAAACTAGTTTGGGCCATTATTGAAACTGTATTTACTTTACTACTCAAATATGTAGCAAAAATGAAGCAATAAAATTATACAAATATAAATGCATCTTATTTATTTTCCATATTATAAATTGTCCTTTTATGGAGGACATTTTTTTAAATAAGAGAAAAGGGACAAGCGCTGTTGCTATGGCCTTAGACACTCGAAATTTGTCCAAACTGAATGTTTGGCCAAATTTCGAGTTCCATCTTGGAAATCCATTATTTCCGAGCACGCAAGACTTTATTCTTCTGGATTACGTATAGGATAATAGTAGAGATTTTCGTTTTCCATTACTTTTTCCATTATTTGTGCTTTTGAAGATAAGAGCTTGTGACAGTTGACACTACCGAACTGACACTAACCGTAACGCTAACTATAACCGCCCAAAATCGGGCGGTTATGATTAGTGTCAAATATGACGTCATTTTGACCAGCGCAAAACTGGTGTAGCGAATATCATGAACATCCGAAGACGTAACCATCGGGAATGTGCTGGTTAAGGTTTATAGTTAGTTAATGTAACGCATCCTTAGTAAATTTTAAGGTTATTCCAAATATTACTGTTACAAATAATTTTAACTTTAACGGTAATCGGCGATATGGTGCAACTCACCCTTAGTGTTGATAAGGTTAACTTTACGCTAGTAAAAAGCAAGACTTCTAACTTAAAAAATAAAATATAAAATCTTACCAATTGGCTGCACCCACGTAGCGGCTGTCACGTTATGCGGCTCGGGACCCTCTAGCAATGTCGTTGCCAACGTCGCACAATTACATCTGCATACACATATACATTTAATTGAATAACAATGATAAAATTAAAAAAATATAATAAAACCAGGGTGTCTGTATGTAATATAGAAAGAAAAAAATCGCGAATATGATGTATTTGCGTTGTTGATAACGAGAAAAATGTTTGTCTATCTGTCTGTCCACAAGCCGCCTTTGTTCCGGGTAATCTCCGAAACAGCTGTGCCGATTTTAACGGGACTTTGACTAAAGGGTTGCTGACATGGACTGGCATATTTTTTTAAAGTCCGCACTGTCAAAATGGCGACCGGACCACTATATCTGAAACGGGTTGACCAATTTTGACGGAACTTAGACTGGAAGGTGGCTGATTGACGCGGGAATGTAATAGGCGTTATTTAATTCCGCATTAACAAAGTTTGCAGGCGACAGCTCATATAGTAACGCAGATGGCAGTAACTTACACGTGAAAGTTATATAGTTCCCCCGTGTTGGGGTGGGTGGCGGTGAGCGCGACGTGCAGGTGGTGGGGGCGGGCCACGCGCGCCTGCCCCGAGCTCGACACCTGGAGCAGCTCCGGCGCCGCAGACCACACCCTGCACACAAACATACATCACTATTAAGAAGAAAATACACACTAGAACATCGAAATATATGACCCGTCCCTGTGACAGTCAATGTAAGGCAGCAGCCTGACTATTGGACTTAATTACTTTGAAACAATTTTATTAATGTCTATAACACAAAAATACCTAACTCTCAGCCTCTTTGTACACAAATCTTCATTTTATTTACTACTAGCTTTCGCCCGAGACTCGGTTCATACTGATATAGTACCTTTCAGAGAATGTACCAATGAAAAAATGTTGGTCACTATACCTCATTTACTTTTTTAATATCTGTGTAACATAAACTGTAATAATTAACTATGTAAGAGAATTTTACCTTCCATTAGCTTTAATATGAGGATATTTCTTCAAATACACTTTGACATCCAAATAACCAAATCCGAGTACATTAACAAGTCCTGTGGGTGCAACTGATAACACATTCTGACTCTGTATAGACGTTTCACTCTCTGCCCACACCACTTCCTCATCACCTCCGCCACGATACTTCAATTGTATATCCCTGCAAAAACAACAGAATAAATCATCATCACCAGCTCCCTATACATCCCCAATGAGGTGCTCGGAGCCAACCCCAGGTTAGGAGAAAAAATAAACAAACAAAAGCTTGTTTTCATGCTACTAATTATTTTGGAGAAAAAAAATGTTAAATAAATATTACATTTAGCATTTCTTAATTGTTTTTATTAAGGAAAAAAAGGGTTAATACTATTACTTACTCAATATTCTCAGTCCAAGCAATAAATAGTTCAGGTGGTACAATTTCCAATGGCTCTATCGCTGTTCCAGAAACTTCACCTTCAACCTAAATTACATAATTAAATTAAGAAATGAACATAAAAAAGCTACTTTATAGAGTAACAGAAGTTTGCAACGAAATACTAAAACAAATTTTTATCACTTCGCTTAGTAAACGCCGCTTAAAATCTGATAGACATTGAAATTTTAATGGAATTTAAAACTCTATTATAAGTTTTATGCCCTGTCCCACCACTGGCTGATAGAGGCTCAGATAGCTTAATAATGTCACTATCAGATAAGGGAACAAAATCCTATATTTCCATCACCTATTTTACATGTCCAATTGTTATTAGAAAATTTACAATTTAGTAGGACTGACACTAAAAATTCAGTCTTTAACAATAATAACATACCTTAGTCATCAAAGTCCTTCCAGCGATCGAATATAGCTTCGCAGTAATAGTAAACTGTCCTGCATTCCGAGCCATTGCATCTGTTATTGTACCATTGTCCGTAGACTTAATCAAATCAATATTAGCCTCTCCTTCCACTGACAAACGTATTAACATCTCATCGCCAGCTGTTAAAGGGCGACCTTCTGCGTCATACACCACACAATGAACCGTAAACATTTCACCATAAACAACTAAATTAGCCGGCCTTAATTTCACACGAATACTATGAGGTTCGGACACTGTTAACGTAGCTCTTGCTACTTCTGTCATACCGGACATCAATATTACATTAGTTGTACCAATCTTCGTGCCTCGGACTAAGCTGATAGCATCTTCCAGTTTAGCTACAAAATTATCTGGCACACTCAAACTGTATAGAGTATCTCCTATACTTTGAACTGTGAGGCGACCTGCTCTCATTCTAAGCACCCTGAAATAAAAAAAAAATTTTACTGGTGTGTAATGACTAGTTTTGGAACTGGATTACCTTCAACTGTGTTCGTAAAAGTTATTTTCAAAAGACGTATACAAAAATGATATTACTACTAGCTGTAGCCCGCGACTCCGTCTGCGCGTAAAAAAATAGTAGCCTATTTTAGTGGCAACTCGTAATTTAAATTTAAAAATACTAATTATATTACTTGTTATGGAGTTCACCAGACCTATTAATTTCAGAAACTATTGAGCCGATTCTAAAAATTCCTTCACCATTAGAGCGGTAATTTATCTGTAAGTAACACAGGCCACGTTTTTTATTATTTTTTTTAATTCACGCATACAAAGTCACAAGCAACAGCAAGTTTATAATATTAGTATGATAGTTACCACACTTACTTATATCGTAAGGAATCTTGAGGTGCAATAACTGCTGTAACTGGGTTCAGAACAACACTGGCAACCACTTTCAAATTAAAACCAGTGCAGATATCACCCAGGCATACTGTCACCCGGCACTCTCCCATAGCCTGTCCATATAAAAGTACCGCATGAGATCTGAAACCTTTCGCTTCCAGTTCCGCGACACCTGGAGGTGCTTCATAATCAGTGTCACGCCAACGAACTAATCTGTTGAAAAGAAATATTTACATACAATTTTACATATCCATATAAATAATTTGTATGAAATGTGCCATACATTATTATAATAATGCGAAAATTAATATCTAGGCGAATGGTGAACCAATGGAACAATATTCATTACCATCGATCTCAAAATGTGGTACCATCATCCTTTTGCATCCCTTACGGAGGGTCGGCACAGTATGTGCTGCTCTTCCATACATCTCTATCATGCTAACACTAATTTCAAAATGTAGTATGCATTATGCAATAATGTGAAGTATGTTTTGTAAGAATAAGAGACAATACAAAATTTTCCTGATAATCATAGCCAATATGATTTTATAACACATCGCAGACCATATTTTATATTATTTACAAAAATGGTTGTACTTGTTGATATGTATAGGTTGACCATTCCTGATATATGTAAATAATTTTTCTTCAAAGGTGAGATGAAGGTTAATGACTCGCTAATTATTATTGGGACAGGGTTAAAGTGCATTTTTTAAATCATAGACAATTAGAACAAGATTATACAAATAACTTACGTAACTACAGGTTCTTCTCCATAACTATTCCCGAGATTCTCTATGGTCCAACTAAAGGTTACACCTTCCAATGATGAGAATGTGTTACCTAAAAGAAAATAATACTACAAATAATGTGTACAACAAAACTTAGTATAGGTATTGGTAAATCCTACTTATTGTAGTGCAGTACTGATGAATATAGTGATAACAGTGACACTAGACTAGAGTGTCAGTAACTCTGGGGTTTAAGCACTTGACTTCTATTCTACAGGTCTTGGGTTCAAATACTTGCTTGTGTGAATGTGATTTACCCAACGTTCTTATGGTGAGAAAAACATTGTGATGCCACCCGCACTTAGCCAGCATGATTAACTATGGCTTTGCCCCTAACTTAGGGTGGGCTTTGAATCCATGATCGTCATTGGAGACATGTAGTGAGCTGGCGATGATGATGAGTGATATTAGAAATAGTAAATTACCTTGTTCTTCAAAGGCAACAACTTCAAAAGCCTCTGGGGCTTCCTCTAAATACAACTTCCATGTTGTACTTGTTATACTTAATGAACTGATTTTGTCAATGTCAACATCACCTCGCAATATCTGGAAATTAATATATGAAAATTATTATAAAACACCTCTTCCTAAAATAAAAAATAAGTAAAAACAAAGATTGTTAAATGTTTTCTCCATAATTTTGAATTTATTTAGTGTAAAATATTCCAATAATAATGACTTGTATTATTACATTTACATAAAAAATTACCAAGTCATGGCCATACAAAATTCTAGTAAATGAACAAAATAATATTAATTAGATGTCAAAATAGTTATGTATACGTAATATTCGGTTTAACGATTAATAATCTGAGCATTGGAAAATATTTTAGACTATAAAATTTGATTGTTATAATTTGTTTACATGTAAATTGTAAATTCCCGCCAAAATTAAACAATTTCCATTACCTCGCCTGTATTCACTTCTTCAGCTAAAATTATTACTGAACCAGGTGACACACACGTTTTAGATACTGAAACCCGAGCCGCCCGGGAACAGTGACCCCAAGTATCGTCGTAAAGGGGTTCCAAATCGATGATGTCATCGCGGGACAAACTCCTGCACAAAAGTATACAAACTTAGCCATAAAATAAATGGCGTACTTTACAACGAATAAATCGTAAACTTACCACTTGTAACAGCCCCCTTCAATTATTTCAAAAGTGAAGTTTACATACAAATTTTCAAACCATGGTAGTAGTACCCTCGGACTGTTTATTTTGGCACAGTCACATATTATAGTATTTGCAAATAACACTAATGCTAGAACCACAACTTTATGAAGTAATTCCATAATTATTCACATATCAACAGCAAGATTATGGGTTTAAATAGAATATTTTTAATACCTCTAACCTATAAATTGAACTCGCGAATTTCAAATATTTGACGTTTATTTTTTTTATCGAGCGTTTAAGGATAGACTATAAAACCCGGTAGGTTCTTTGAAAAATCAAAACATTGAAATAAAATGCATGTTTTACAAAAACCTTATCGGAAATTAAATTATTTTAATGAAGAATCATCAAATTGATAAGGCAATAAACAAAATTTCCAAAACTGTTAAGATAGTTGATTTTTCCCCGAAGTGTTTCAAAACGCTTCAAGTAAAATGTCAAATTGTTATAAATGGCTGCTTTATGCAGTTTGTGTTCGTCTCACTTTAGCGAATTTAATGTGAATTATGTAAAATGAAATACAAAATGTGTATCGTAATTAATGAAATTATATCATAATAAAGATTACTGTACAAAAAATTCTTGTACATCACTGTTAACCATCACAAACAGTCATGTCGACCAAAAGAGCTACAGAAATAAAAGGCAATGAGATCGATAAAATCAAACGTCGTCATAAACCTGACGACACTGTTATTGCGACAGTGATAAATAGAAGTAGTGAAGATACAATACCCTATATAAAAATGGAGGAAGAGGATGAATGCTCTGAAAAACCTACGGATCTGTGTTTGCAAGGAAACTCTCACTTGATGTCAAGTACAACAAGCAGTTTAGCTGACACACCTGGTGATTCTGGTGTTTTGTGCCTTGATAGCGAAGCTTCCGAAGCTACAAGTCAGGCCCTCATGACCCACAGTCTTGTTGGTGCAGAGGAGTTAGCTTGCGATAGTATTTACGATGCATTACCTTCATGTTCCCAAGACATGATCAAAAGCACCACCAGCAGTGTCATGACCAACAGTGACATAGATAACCAAAATGTAGGTCGCGATGATATTGTTCCCGAATTACTTGTTGAAACAAACAAAAAACCACCAGTGTATGAAAATTTACCTGATGTGGTTTTAAAAGCTTTAGAAAGTGAAAAAGTCAGTACTGAAGAGGTAAGAAAGCCAGCATTGAGGACTACTGAACCAAAGAAGTCATTATCAGAAGATATAGTGTATAGGAGGAGATGTAGAAAGAAGTCACAAAGTGGACCTAGTTCACAGAAGAAACGTGTTTCATTTCATGAAGACATTCTTAATAATACTAAAACTGATAACATTCATATAGAGAGAGGCTTTATATCATATAGACCAGACAACTCACACTGTGATAGATTTAGACAGAAGAATACAGTTGCTAATGATAGGTTTTCTTGGTGTGCCTCCGGTGACCAGGCTCCAAAATTTGCAGCTGATGTTGCTCAACAAACTATGTCTGATATACTCGGTTATGGTGATTCTAAACATGACAGAAGTGGTATATTTGAATACTGTCAGCCTCGTGAATCAAATAATGTTAATACAAACAAAGATAAAGACAATAATAATGTGGCACCACGGAATGGAAAGCTGTATGGTTGTGATTCTAATAGCTCTGATTCTAATTTTAGCTGTGACTCTGAATCATCATCAAGCGACTCCTCATCATCGCATTCCAATAAAACGGAAACATCACCTGTTCACAGGAAATGTGATAAAACTCAAAAGTCTTATTCATGTGATGAATTTTCTAACAACGGTCATGTTGCATTTATGAGGAAAACATATTTTTCTGAAGCAGATATAGACCAAAATCATGACAGAATGAAGAAACCATTAGAAGTGTCACAAAGTCCTATAACAGTTAAGTCTGTTCTGAAAAAGAAACGTTACATAACAACTAATGTTGTTGAAGAAAGGAAACAAAATAATAAAGTTCTTAGTTTACTAGATGCAAACAACATCATAGATTCTCTTAAGAATTTTTATAGAAATTTTAATTTCAATTTCATTCCTGAAAAAGGTCTTCCAGAAACTAGTTTTGAAATAAACAATGTTGTTGAAGCTCTACCCTGTGATGTAAATCAAAACAGAAATTTATCTAAAAGCCTTGATTCAGGATTTCAAATTGATGATGATGATGATTTCGTCGAAATCAATCTCAATCCACAACAAAATGTAGAAAAGCCTAAACAAATACCTAATAGTTCTAAAAATCCTGTTTCCGGAGATAGAACTCCTAATGAAGGGTCTCCCCGTCACAAACTTACATTGAATATGAAGGCACAAACTGATAAAAAACTAGGCAACAAAGCTGATGCCTTCCCACCTTTAAGCAAATACGTTGTTAACTGTGAGAGCACAGTTTATGAACACAAAGGTGTATCATACAGTTATGTTCATGATACATTTCAAACAGCATTTGATGCACCTAAGGAAACATTTGTCCCTATACCTGAGACCACACCGGTTATGGAAATTGTTACAAGTGCAAGTAAGACTGAATTAAATATGAAACAAGGTGATGACACATCTAGTAAAACATCAACACCGAAGCGGCAGTTTAATAAAAATGTTCAAGACGAGACAGAACAAAAGAACGGCGTATCAAAACACTTGTCCTCGCCAAAGAAACAAAACGTAAACAGATATAGTCGTAAATTCGCCTCTACTGTACAAAAGAATGATGATTCAACTCAGGCAAATAGTGATAACTGTTCGAATACTGACAATTCGACATTAAAAGGTGCTGATGATTTTAACGATGAATTTTTCGATAGTCCAGCAAACCAAAAACTACAATCCAATAAATCGGCTCTACTCAATAGGTACCTGAAGAATGTTTGCCAAAAGAAGGACTTAGAACTTAAAATTAGAAACAATAAATTCTTCCAATTTAAATTACGTATGGAGAAAGAGTTTCCTAGCATTATATATCCTTTTAAAAATGTGTCTGATACATTTCCTATGTCCGCTGAGAGGATGTCGCGTCTCATAGACAAAGAGGTTGTGGAGAACAAAAGGCTTTCTGTGCGGTTGCTGACAGCCGACGAGCCTTCATACTTTGATAGCTTTGAAGACAACGTCGCCATTGAATGTAGCGAGAAACTGAGGCTGCAGCTATTTTCATATCCTAATGAAACATTGAATAGGGTATGTATTATATACATTTTATAGTCTACTAGCTTTCGCCCAAAACTCCGTCCGCGTAGAATTAAAAAAAAAAACAAAAGTGAGTAACCTATGTGTTCTTCCAGGCTACCCCCCACCACTTTACCAAATTTTATTGAAATCCGTTCAGCCGTTTAGGCTACAAACTCTAACAAACATCCATTCATCCATCTAAACTTTCGCATTTATAATATTAGTAAGATTATTACTAATCCAAATGTTTAATAGACTTATTCATGCAAATAATCATACTTCATACTAAAATTATAAATACGAAAGTTTAGATGGATGTTTGTCAGAGTTTGTAGCCTAAATAGCTGAACGGATCTCGATGAAAGGCAAAGATGTCGATGATAGTTTGGAAGAACACATAGGCTACTTAGTTTTGTTTTTTTTTAATTCCACGCAGATGGAGTCGCGGCCGAAAGCTAGTCTCTTATAATTTTGTTTGTTATAGATGATGAAAGTACAGTCAGCTTACAACATGGACGATGGTTCGTGGACACCGTTGTTAGTGTTCATCACAGATTACGCATTATACGTAGCAGATCTCAAGCCCGGTGGTACGGAATACGAACTTTTATGTCGGCTACCTCACAATGAACTGGATGCTATTGCGGTAAATATAATTTCAGGAGATTTTTAGATGTAATCTAGAATACGTGTTAGTTTAGTGATAGATTGTAGACTCGTGAGTGTGGCAGATAGACTTTGAACGGTATATTTTCATTTTAAATTACCTTATATGTAGTATAATATAAGGTAATATAAATATAATATAAAAGTAATGTTATAAATGCGAAAGCTTGGATGGATGGATGTTACTACGTATTTTCAAAACTGCTTAACGAATATTGTTGAAATTTAGCACACATGTAGAATATAGTCTGTAACAGGTTCTTTTTTAATTTCTCGCAAACGGTGTCACGGGCGAAAGCTAGTTTAATTGGATTAATTTTCTCCCAGGTGGGTCCGGAAGCTCAGTACATCCAAGTAATAGACATCGCTGGTAACATAGCGTGTTCAGTTGTGACCGCGGAGGGTTCGCTGGGCGCTCGGCTGGCTTCCTCACTGGAATGGAGCGCAAGAACCTCGCCACTGCGTATAACTCGTCCTCCAGCGATGCTGCCTCTAACATGCAAACAACTCGCCGCCGCTGTTACAAGGAAACGACATGAAAAACGGGTAAGCAGAATAGCTGTACTTAGTTAAAATCGTACTTTAATCCTTAAAGTGGGTCATGCTGTTTTATCTACAGGTCACTATGGATGGAACATAGGTAAGTATTAAGACAATTCTTCCATTCAAAAAGTAATTCTAACTAAACAATGATCTATTAAATTTCAATCGCTTTTACGTTCCTACTAGCTGTTCCAATGCGTCTTCATTCGCATAGAATCATGAAAATTTTATTTTATTGTTTACATTTGTCAAATTATCAAATGCAAATGTCAAAATGACATGACATGATGACAACCTTGCTTCCTTAATGTTGGCAGCAACTTATGGTCTCTTTTCCACATTAGGGTTTTTATCCAAAATATGTACCCCCTAAGTTTAATGGCGTGATAATATATAGCCTAAAGCGTGACATAAGTGTAGGGCTTTTTATTAAAAAAAGAACTATTCAAAACTATGCTGTGATTGCTGACATCTTAGGCAACAAAGAAGTGTGTGTTTACGCTTTATTATAATAGTATAGATGACAGTAAAGGAATTAGTCAGTATTAGTTAAAATTTATGTGAAGTTTTTTTCAAAAATAACAACTGTATTATTGCGCTGTATCTTAGCGCTTTTTAATTTCTTTTTCTTGCATTCTAAAAGTTGTATGGTAATTAACATTCTAAGTGGTATAATCGTATAAAATCTACGAAAATGAAAGCGTAACGAATGCCTTTGAAGGCCACATCCGTAACAATGTTTATCAAACTGGACACCGCCGTAAATAGTTTTTTTTTTTAAACATAATAGTGTTAATATGTCCCATGCCAGTACGATTTTGTTACCAAAGGTCAAGTCAATCAGTATTACTGACTTATGTCTTGCTTCAAATTAAAGTAATATTATAAAAACGAAATTATAGATTGGATGGATGTTTGTTAGAGTTTGTAGACTAAACTGCTGAAGAAGGATAGTCTGAAAAAAAAATAAGCTAACTTACGCTATCCGTATACGGAGTCGCGGGCGAATTATAGTACGCAATAAAAATTAGAAAACATTAATATTACGTACCTAAAAAACTTTTGCATGACTCGCCTTTAAACTGTACAAATTCACCGTGAAAGGTGCCAACAAAAAATCAGATAAAGGCGTTATTTAACTTTTTAAAAACCCATTTAACACATTCGTGAGGAACTTCAAGCTTTACGTAATAATTTAAATCTGCAGAAAGTAGGTCGACGACTCGCCATTTAATGAACCCCGATAATTTATATAGAAAACATAAGAGAACAACTTGAGGGTATGTAACGCTAATGAGGTACAAAGGGGTCAAGAATTCCGTCTTTTGCCGTTTATTGCATTAATTTGTTACGTTACTAGCTTTCGATCGCGACTCTGTTCGCGTGGAATTAAAAAAAAAATCAATATCCCATGTATTCTTCCAGACTATCCTCTACGTCTATGCCAAATTTCATCAAGATCTGTTCAGCTGTTTAGGCTACAAACTCTAACAAACATCTATCCATCTAAACTTTCGCATTTAGAATATTAAATAAGAAATAAGATTTAAATTAAAATGTTCATGACAAAGACTCATAACAGTCCAAATCGGTAGAAAAATATAGACTCTACTATGTTTTTAATTACAACTTTTTACCTTTGTTATTCTCAAATATATCATCGACCAACTATGTAGTTCGTTATTAACTAGTCATATTGTAAACTAAGATTTGGGATTTAAAGATTATAATTCTCTTTTCTTAAACCGACGGAGATTATTCCCCTTACAGATAAGGTCAATGCACTTTTACATAATAGTTCCGACACAATAGAACCATGTCAAGCATTTATACTATAAGGAAGTCTAACAAGTTTCTCCTAGTCACTGTTTAATCCTTAGTTTTCAATACTTATTGTTTAATTTTATAAACAACCCTAGTTTAATTAAAGCTCTTGATATCTAGATATCCTATGAAGTCTGTAAATATGCCAAAAAAACCAAAGAAAGTCGTGTTCTGTCTCTTTTCTTCACATGCGTCTCCTACTCTCAGTAAATTGCGTACAAAACATTCGAAGTTAACATCACAGACGCATAAATCACTAGCAAGTGTAATTCGTTTAAAATAAAAATACAGTATCTCTCCCCTTGCCTTGCCAAGTAAATACCATAAATAGAATTATTCAAGTGTAATATTAGAATGAGTGTCCGCTGGAATATTTCCTTGTGACTCACGCGACGATGACTGTACCCCTTAGATGCATTATTTTAATGAATTATAGCTAGTGAGCTGTTTACGTTAATGTTTACGGAAATTAAAGAGTTTTAAAACAGAATGTACATCAACACGCTTCAAAGTGTGACGTCATAATTCCAAAAAAAGATATATCTTTAAAATTTCAGTCTTCTAGTTGAAGTAAATAAACTTAACATTTTGTTTTTGTTAAAATCCGTATTTTTTATCATTTTTTGACAGAGCAAAACTCACATCGTACTTCTTACTAATATCCTAAATGCGAAAGTTTGGATGGATGGATATCTGTTAAAGTTTGTAGCCTAAACTGCTAAAGGGATCTCAATGAAATTTGGCACAGATGTAGAAAATAGTCTGGAAGAACTACACAAATAAGCTACATACAAAGTTTTTTTTTAAACTCCGCGCGGACAGAGTCGAGGGCTAAAACTAGTTCTTAATAAAACTAACTATACTATAAATTCTGAAGTATTTTCAGTATGATAAACATTTCTATTCAATAGAAAATAACTGATTGTGTTTAAAGTGTTTGAAAACAAATAAAACCATATTTTCTAGTCATTACAGAGTGGAAAGTTGTGAGACCAATTAAATCCGAATGTTGCTATACCGTGACCTCGGAGTGTGGGTCAATGTAACGGAGAACGTCCCATGGTCCACGAAATTACGATACGAAACGAACTAGATATCTTTTATTGTATTTACTGCGATATTTATAACTTGTTTATGTAAACATTTACTATTAATCTTTAATTTGGTGTAGACAGAATAATAATAGAATAAAGCTAGGAAGCCTATTAAGCATTTATTTAAACTCAACTATTCGAATAATACAAGTATTCGTTAATTAACCGTGGGTTTTCACTATCGAAACACTCATTCGAAAACATGTTGACATCCCTCTAATGCTTGTCTAAGAAACTGAGATAGTGACATGTTTTTGTTTGGTCTGTTGCGGCAGTGATAACTTACACTAAAACGTTTAAAATCTCTTTAACAATTAGTTGTTTCGAGATTTATTAAATATGCAAATGTTTAGATTCCAGAGATCCTGTACTACGGGCGGGCGTGTTCGGGTGACGCGGGGGACAGGCTGATTGAAGCCCCGGGGGCGTTCGCGCCGCCGCTGGAGGGCTACCTGATGTGCAGGACAGATAAGAGCAGGCGATTTGAGCCTAGCTACTTCTTACTGAGGTATTTAAATATTCTATCGACAACTGGCTATGTGCGTGGGAAGATGGATGTGTGTGACAAGAAGGGATAAAGTTAAGAATGTTTATTTTAGAGGAGGTGTGAAAGTAAAGTGACAGAGAAATTGAGAAGCAAAATGTTAATGTGGTAAAGTTAAGAAAAAGTAATGTAGATATTTTTATACTAAGGTTAAAATACAGTTAACCTTATGGTACTTTATACAATAAATAAATCAATGACTGATTACTATTGAGGTAAATGTCCACTGGTATAATAAGACATGTTATAAAAATAATGTTTTTTATAACAACAAAGGCGTTACATTATAAATTAAAAAAACAAACTTTCACAGACAAAAGTAAGTCAACACAAAAATGGGACCCACCTGCAAGCATTACCTTTCGGGTAAAAAAAGAATTATCAAAATCGGTCCACTAGCGTCGGAGTTATGACGTAACACACATAAAAAAAACATACAGACGAATTGAGTACCTCCTTCTTTTGGGAAGTCGGTCAAAAATAAAATACTTTTGTTGTATAGGAATAAAAAAATAATATGCAGGGACCATTCTTTGCTACATCTTCCATTCTACGGGACATATATGGGCCACTATAACAAGACCTCTTACCACTAGAGCGGGCGTGCTCCACTGGGGTCCGCACTCACCTGACGGCTCCCCCTTGCCGCACAACATCGCGCTCCGCTCAGTAGTGGGTGTGCGACGTCACGTGGACTCTACACGTCGGCCTCATTGCTTCGAGATAGCATTAGGAGATGCAAGCCGGCTGCTACTGGCAGCACCGGATGATCCCACCGCGTCCTCATGGTTGCAGTCCTTGTTACTGCATGCAGCACAGGTAATTAATACCTCTCATTCATAGATTTCTCATAATAAATCTAAATTAAGGGTGACCCTGAGATATGCGATTTAACACTTTGTATGCCATAGACTCTTGTAAGTCCAATTTAGTACGTGATAATGTGGTACTGGACGTGTTAACCCTTTATTCGACGGAGTCCATTGTAGCAAAAAAATATGTTATTTTTTAGTTATTTATATCATATGTTGGCAAACGAGCAGCAGACTGTCTGAATCTGCCGAAATGGCGAAGCAACCGCTGCCTATGGTTATTCGCAATTAAAGATGCGTTGCCTATAATCCACAGAGGAGACGAACATGAATAGAATATTTCCCCTTCCTATACGTCTCCACCGTCAATTACACTTGCCGTCCCATCCTTTCCTTATAAAAAAAGAGTGGATATAGAACTAAAAACTGGCTTCACATCAGACTACGCGGAATTGCTTTTCACGCCTGTCTTATGTTCGTGGTATTGCGTGAAGCGAGCCTACAGCGTTGTTAAAGCGGGCTCTACCACTATATAGGCATTAGAAGAGAAGGACGGCGCTAAGAAGGCAGAGCCCCGGTCTGGCGCGCCGCCGCCCGCCTGCACCGTGCTGGTCACCGCGCACGAGGTGGTCAGTGTCCGCGACACGCTGGACTCCGCCTTCGTAGCCGGCGCGGCCGCGTACCTCAAGGATAGAGGCTCTGATGCACTACTCAAAGGTAACTAACAGATTTCTTACTATCCTACTTCTTTTAGGGCCTGGTTCATCAAATTGTGAGTAGGCAATATGCATATAACGCCAAATTGGGTCAAACTTTTTTAAGTACACTTTATTATTATAAAAACATACATATAAATATTTCTTTTAATATAATGGTATTTAGAAGCGAAATTTAATCATTAAAAAGTTTCTTTTTTAAATTCCCTTTTTAAGTTTTAAAACGCACCGCTATTGGTCGAAGTGTAGTGACTTATGTATTTTGGCGTCACTGTGTTGTCAATACACAGTTTATTTACATTAGTTTGTATAGTAATTCACTCTTGAAATATTTTACTGTAAACAAGATATCAAAAGTAACTTTAAATTAAAAATTAATGAAGAGAATCATTAATTACCACTTATTTGTACCTGGAATAATGAAAATATCGGTTTTTGTCGGCGCTGAGCAGCGCGCAAATGACCTTGAACGGGTAACACGAATAGATGCATTTTACTAAATAAACAAAGTTATAAAAAGTTTATTGACGCTATTGTTACATGTTTTGTTATATCAACAGTTATAAAGATATACTTATGCTATAACAATGATGGAATTATTTTTCCAATTTACTGAGTTTAATGCACACAATAAAAATTACGATTATTTATATAATAAAAGTTTTTTTTTTATTATTGTAACGTATTATACATTATGTTTCCAGAGTACATAGAAGATATGAGAACGGACATTGAAATATTGGCTTGCGGATTCATCAAAAATCTCACGGCGTTTAAGATTCCTGATACAGACGAGAATTGGTGCTGTTTGGTAAGTAATACAACCGAGAATTAAATGTGTAAATCCCCGTTTTATAACATTTTGTTAATTATTAAAGAATGAGAATATAAAAATCCACTCAACTTTTGTACGATGGCTGAATGGATTTTGATGGAATGGCATAGATGTAGAGCATAATCTAGAAGAACTCATAGGCAACTAATAAAGCTTTTTTTATTTTGTTAGACGGAGTCGCGTATACTTGGACGCCTACAATTCCTTTAGAGCCACATACATAAATGAAATAGACTTGCCAGGTTTACTTAAGTCTATGGAATAATAAAAAAAATTTGCCCCATCCCCTCTTGATCATCAGCCGGTAAAGTCTTTGAGCGAGAGTACAAGTAGAAAACTTGAATTGTTCTATGTATCTGTGTATAGGAGTGGAGTGTGTGCGAAGCTCGCGAGCGCGGCGCGGGGCTGGCGCTGGTGCTGGCCAGCGGCGCGGAGCTGGAGCGGCTCATCGCAGCGCTGGAGCTCGCCTACTGCAGCCTCACTGTAATACTTTTAGTCAATATGATTATCACCACCAACTCACTATATGTCTCCATTGAGGGGCTCGGAGACCTCAAATTAGGGTCACCAGGCCATACTCAACCACGCTGCACTGCGGGTTGGATGACTTCACATACCTTTGAATTTCTTCGCCGATAAGTACAGACATCACGATGTTTTCCTTCACCGCAAGAACGTCGGGTAAATTATGTATATATGAATTTCGGAAAAATCGAAAATCACATTGGTATAATATAATCGTAAAATTGTACTTTTACTCAATCTATCGATTCCCGCCATGATTGGCGCGCTTATTTTTAATATTTTGACATTGTCAATGTCATTTGACAAATTTTATAGTGACGGGACATGTATGGCAATGATCTAGTGTTGCGCTACTCCGGCACGTTACCGATTTCTACTGATTTATTATAAAGTCATTACATTTGTTTTGTATTCCTCAAGAGTGTTCATTAGTGTACTACAGTCGTTTGATTTATTTGTTTTTTTTTTTTTTTTCAATAAATGAATGATGGTATATATTAGTACAGTTGTTATAAATTTTCCTTAAATAAATATTTTATAGAGTATTATAAGAAACAAATTCAACTATAAAATAATAACCTCCTAAATATTTAGGAATTACTGATAGTACTTATACAAGATGCTTAATAAATTACCGTATTACTAATGGCATCTGTTATATTACCAGAGCGAGCCGTTCCCTCTGAGCGTGGTGGAGGCTTGTAAGTCAGCGTGCAGCGTCGCTCACACCAAGTACGAGGCGGCCTGGGCGCACATGCTGCCCGCACAGCACTAACCCGCCTTATACCTGCGCAAGACAAGGTAATACATTACCAAGACAACACGTATGAGACAAAAATATTACCAAGACAACTAAAATGTATAAGGCATCACCAAGACAGGTAAGACAAGGATTTTACCAAGACATGAACGTGCGCACACCTTTGACTGTTTAGTCTTGCGTTGATTCCTATGAGATTATACGTAGGTGTGCTCATTACTCCATTTTTAGTTGTGAAACTAAACATATAAACAACAGATAAATTTGCTGCAAAGTTATCGACAATCGCATCACAGTTGTGCGATAATTTAGTCAAAAGGTGTGCACCTGCTCTTAAGCATAAGACATAAATGTAAAAAAAAGTTAATGTAGGCGAAACAGATATTATCCAATTAATGCAATAACTAGAATCAGATTTAGATTTAAATCATTAATAATCAATTGATGTTACAATTTCTAATCGATGTTACAAATGCTAATGGATATTACAATTTCTAATGAATGTTACAATTTTAAATGGATGTTACATTTTATAATCGATGTAACACTGTACATGGTGAATGTCGGTAGCTACATATAATTGTTTTTCAATGGATTAGTAAAAAAAAGCCTTAAACATGACTTGTAAATTCTCGTAATATGACAATTTATGGCAATATGAAGTGACTAAGATCATGGAATTTTGCCACTTTATTGTGACTATAGCTTCGTTATAATAATACTCAATAATCGCATAATATCTTGTATATTGTATGCCAATCCCCTGTTAAACAGAGGCCAAGTGTTGAGCACAATTTACTGTTATTCTTAATAACTAAACTGTTACAACGGAATTGCACGGAATCCATATATAAGAAAATTATAAAGGCCTAATACCGCGTAACATCATGTTAAAATACTACATTCAAAAAGAAATATCAATAATTTGTATAAAACCTCAGAAATATGGCAAAAAGTAAGTTAGTAACTTCACTTATGGTAAAAAAAAACTGTTTCACAAAAATTTGATTATATCTTAGATTGCAAAAGTATTTTAGTTCTGCGATATTTAAAAATACATCTGTCAATTTGAACGTCATAGATTAAAAAAGTCTTTATACTCTGTGTAATTTCGTTGTAACGTTCGCTTTTTAATATAAGGAATAATAATTATAGTACGATAAAAGCTATATAAGGTATGTCTGTGTATTTAGATAGGCGGTTGGAACATTTTCGTAGTGTTAGGTCACAATAACAATAATTTCTATTGATTTTTTAATTAATGATTTATAAACAATTCGATTATTTTAATGAGTATGTGTTCCCAATGTTATTTATTATTGTTTTATTGTGATATATTTTAGTTTTATAAATGAATTCTTTATATTATCGAAATATAGGTAAAATACCCAGGATTTAAGATTATATCTTTTAATAAATCTAGTTTAGCATTGATGAAATAATATTTGCTGTTTTATAGGCCCAGTTTGCATTATTCCAGTTCGAAACTAGAGCTGGAATCGTTCTATGGACTGGAATAATGAATATTAATAAATAACTTTGTTTACTATACAATACTTTACTATTAAATTTAAGAAAAGGAAATCAATACTTTCTTAACATTTGTGTTGTGTATTAAAAAGAAAACGATACTTCTTAATAATAAATCAGTTACCTTCAATGCCCTATATTGATCTCGGCAACGCGTAGACTGTTAATATCGAATAAGTACCTATTAATTTAAGTTTTTCTATAGCTTTGTAGTATTTAAATAGTAATATGTATTCCACAATTACATCACAATTTAGTATTTAGGGTCATCGCATATTTGACAAATACGTATACGTTCTTACGCGCGTATGTAACGTATACGTTTTGCGATGAAGGCAAAATATCAGAAACATGATATCCACTGCTGTAAGACGCGTTTACAAAATCATAAAAGAATGATAAGGATTGGCAATATCTTTACGCTCATACGGCAGTGGAAACCAACTGTTTATATTGTATATATTGATAGTGCTTTACTGCTTTGGATGATTCTTATATTAATGTCACAATAGATGAAAAGGTTATTTCCCGCTCTTTCTTAAAGGATTTGATAGAATTCTAGATACTTTTGGAAGTATTTGATATTTTTCTTTGTTAACTTCATTAAGGTTATGTGGTCGTTCAAGTGGATGGAAAATGAACAAGTTCACTCGAAAGTTTTGAAGCAATAAGACTGCTTTGAGTGATAGTCGCTGGCTTGGCTTGGATATTTTAAAATTGATACGAACATATGTTCTCGGAGCCTTTTGTAGCTTTATTATTTTAAAGCTAATTTTAATGGTTTCGTTGTTTTTATTATTGACTATAGCCGTTCTTATATAATAGGCTCGTTTAGTAATAGACATTTTCGATTTTTAATGTTCAATTGATTACGAATTTTTCCTATCGTATTGTTATCTAAATGAGCCTATCATATTTTGATGGCTTTATTTTTTGGTATTATTGCTTGTTTGGGCAGATTGTTGTTATCAGGTGGGATTGTGGTTGCAATATTTGGTAAGGACTTTATCGGGCTGGAGCACAAGCACTGCCTCTTGTTTTCAGTTGAGTTAAGACTACCGTAACAGTCGCAAAAACATGTTAATTTTTTGGTAGTGTGAACTCATAGAAACACATGCGTTCAATTTTGTTAGCTAAAAGCTTCTTTGAATCGTTTTTAATGCATATTTTTATGTTTAGAACAATTATTTTATTCTCGTTTTCATACTAAAATCAATCTACATCAGGTATCGTGTATTTGTATTATCAGGCTGTTGTAAAGGCCATGTGATATTAATGTATGTCTAGGATAGGATATTGAATCGAGCGTGCCTCAGAAGCCGGACCTTATCCTTTGTCTTAAGGTTCAATTTTGTAAATCATAACCTTTGATTCCTTTACCATCAGTTTCTTGCATAATAGAATTGAATAATCTTAAGAATACATTTTTTTATACTTTTTTTACTATTTTCTTTTTTTAAATGGTTGTATATGTGTACTTAATAATAAAATATTTGAATACTATTACAATTAAAATTAAAATAATATTTTAATGCAATAATATTACTACGTTACAATTTTTAATGATTTATGAAAATTTCTTCTGAGGTACTTTTACGCGATATTTAGTGTAATTTTATTTTACACGAACGAAATGATTTATATCCCAGTGATTTATTTATTTTAATTTATATACGAAATGAAATTACCTGATGAAGTTTAGCCAAAATTATATTTAAAGATGTAGTGTTTTGTGATGTACTCAATGATAGTATTATATGTATGTATGTATCTTGTTCGCTTTAGTATGAGATTTTGTGTCTATAAAAACATATAAATTATACTCAATAATCTTTTAAATATATGAATCATGCAAAATTGTAGTTTATGATACTTTAAATTTAACAACTAAAGTTATAGGTTTTGTTAAACAGCTGTTACAAACATTTTATTAAATAGCTACAGTTCTTTATCATTGTAGGGTGGTAAAAAAAAACAATATACTATTTTAGTACAGAAAAATGATGTCTTTGCAAACGTTTATACAGAAAAGCTCATACTATAGGGAGCATTGTACGGTTGTGTTTGTGTAAATGCTTCGGTACCTTGTTTCGGCAACTGTGATTAGTGTTGAGTAAGTTATCGTTTAAGCATAATAAGTTTTTGTCTAGCTTTCAATGTTTACAAGTTTTATTGTACTTTATATGGGGATAATTTCGTAATATACAAAACGATATTTATCTATTATCAATAGAACATTCTATAATTTAACTCCGAAAATTATTTAAGCTTTCAAAATAGATGTTACAGAAAAATGTTTAAAAAAAATTGTTACGACCCAAAGGTTATGTTTCTTGCCTCTATTTGTATTTGTCCTGTAATTATTATGATTGTAATTGAAATAATACTAATATCTTGAATTGTAGCATGTGAAGTATTAATAAGAACAATAATAAATGTTAATAACTTACAATATATTGTAGAAGCTATAAACTCAATGTTACAAATTTTCATGACATCACAAATAAGTGGAGAATGTTACAATTCTTCTCATGCACAATAAATGTCTTATGTCATGTGACTTTGTAACGTGCCGTAACGTTTGTCATGAAACTTTGTAACATGTTACATTGTATATTCCATGTAGATGTTAGTCGCGTCGGTTTTACAAGCAACTGTACTCAAATATGTTTCCATAATCGAATATAAACTTCACGAACTTTTTTTGATGTTTTATTTAACCTCGAAACCCTTGTCAATACATTTTTAACATACAATTTACAATTAAATTATTACTACTAGTAAGTGTTTAAATATATGTAAATTAAATATTACGTTTAGCTTTTTTCTACATTCTTTCAAGTCTGTGCGTAAAGTGTAGTTTTATATGATTTTTTTTTAAAAAAGAATCTCATGTAGACAACTATATATTTCGCAATAATTTGTAACAATATTGAAAATGTATAAACAGCTTTATAGGAGTAAAATACGACATAATTTTAATATAGATTGGAACCAGTTTATTTTACATAGACAACGTAAACACACCTCTCGTCCACAACCAGTTAGCGCAGACTTGATATGTTGCATTGCAGAGATTCCATAAGTAATAAAATTTATATATTTCTAGAATATATCGACAAAACTCAGATATAAAAACAAGTAATCTATTATTGTAAAAAAATTAACCAGAGTTGCATTACTGCGGTAACAATTATTATAAAAAATTCACTAGCTATTTACGTTACAACCTTTAGAATTGGTGAAAATGATGCGATTCGGAACCGTTAAGGCTACTTAATTAACGATTCCATTACAATTGAGATTGTTTATAAAAACTGATTTGTTTATACGTATTCGAAGGACAATTGACAATCAAAACATGTTTACAATATCATAAAGAAATCAAACATAACATAATTTAACATCGTAAATAGTCTGCGTTACGCAAAGGTATAGGTAGGTATAGGTCCATATATGCAATACAAAATTCCGTTGATTTCGAACTGTTGAGAATTAAATTAACTAAATATGATAACGAAAAAGAAAGCATTTATCTGATGATTTACTTATGGGCCCTTAAAATAAAGGGCAGTTTATCGTGTTAATTAACTGCGTAAAACCTGATTGATAAGTTGTCGAGAACACAAACAAGCTACATTAGCATACCTGCAGCCGTCCTGATAGCCTCAGTATACTACATCTCCACGCAGAGATTAGTCTCCCCGCGATGTCGGAGCTAAAAGTAAGTAATTACGTTTGTATTATTTGATTAAATCTGCAGTTATCTTAAATGTTTATTTGTACAGAAATTTGTTCGCGAAAGATAATTTATCAGAGTAACCATAAAATTTATTTTAGCATGCCTTTTGACACAAAACGATTCATTTAATTTAAATATGAATTTTTAAATTATAGAATAATCGAATTTTCTAGACAGAACTTATAATACCGATTTTTAGATGCTCGTCATTTTCCGTGACAACCGGTAAAACTAAGATTGACTATATTTCTTATTTTCTATAAGTTTTTTTTGTCTATTTTAATAAATTGATACATCAAATATTTTACACTGATAATATACCAACTTGTCATCAGTACCTGTCAGGTTTCGGATCAGAGTTCAGTTCCGAGGACCCGCGTCGTCCGGGTGCACTGCCGGTTGGTCAGAATTCCCCACAGCGTTGCCCGTACGGTCTCTACGCTGAACAACTCTCAGGGTCCGCATTTACCGCACCACGGAATGATAACAAACGATCCTGGCTCTACAGGTAATGATAGCAATCTTTCCACAACTTCTTACAGATTCTAACTTTATAACGGCCCGAAAGCTCGAAGTTAACTATAACTTCGAACGTATCAATTTGGCTCACGGTGAGTAGAGAATATCAATAGCTGGGTTTTGCGTATTTGCAAACCGTCAAATAGACTGAGCGGCAAAGTTCAATAGATTATTAAGCCCGGCATACGGTATTCTTTTCTTTCGAATTTTAGTTTTACAGATCAAACTTTAGTGGACAAAAGTTAGTGAATACGAAAGAGCACTTATTGTTTTTATTTTTGACTTGCAAAGCGGTTTCAAAGTAGCTGAGATATGTTTTATAATACGTATATAATAGTTGATGAAATACGACACGCTCCAGTGGCGCAATTGGTTAGCGCACGGTACTTATAGGACAGTGTTCGTGAGCAATGCCGGGGTTGTGAGTTCGAGCCTCACCTGGAGCAATATTTTGTACTTATTTGAGCAGCGAATTTACTAAACTGGGAACAATATTTATGCATTTGAAGTACTTAGATAGAGAATTAATTTGTCATACTAATTCTTAATATAATAATATAAAAAGTGTATTGTTATAGAATTCGTCCATCCGTCGTACATCAGCCATTCCAAAAAAAGGATATCGCTAAATATCTTACCCACAACTGGGATGAAGCGGAACCGGATCCTAATCAAGTAATGCTTTATTGTTTCTAAAATTGTTGAAGCAATTTGAAAAAAGAAATTACTATTCAGAAAATTTTTTTAGTCTCGCTGGCTCCCCTTTGACATCCCGCCAACGGATCAGAAGGTCAACTTCGTTGAAGGTTTGCACACGGTGTGTGGCGCGGGGGATCCGCGGGCACGCAACGGTCTGGCCATACATGTCTACCTGTGCAACTCATCTATGGATAAGAGTGCCTTTTACAGCAGTGATGGAGATCTACTGATAGGTAAAAACTATTGATTTGATATTTCGTTTGATTTTCATTCAATATCGACTAAACCGATTAGGTTTAAAGCTCCAATTTTGTTATCGCTTGTCGAGATATAGACGTAGAAGCAATCATATATGTTAATTGTTTTTGCAGTACCGCAACAAGGAAACCTGAAAATAACTACGGAATTCGGGATAATGAAGATATCTCCAAACGAGATAGCCGTGATACAGCTCGGCATGAGATTCGCTGTCGAAGTGGATGGTCCTAGCCGGTAAGAAATATATTTTTACGTTGTTGATTCTGTTTATGAATAAAACCATTGTGATTCCAAAAATAATTTCAGGGGCTACATTCTAGAAGTATTCGATGGCCATTTCAAGCTGCCTGATTTAGGACCCATTGGAGCAAACGGTTTGGCAAACCCAAGAGACTTTCTAACTCCTGTTGCTTGCTACCACGACGAAGACATACCAGGTATTCTCTTCTCTCTTGCACTTTACCTCAACTATATCTTCGTTCTCTCTCGTTTAACATTGTGGCAATGATTTTATCGTTGTTAAAATGATTTAATTTTCAACAGGATTTAAAATAATAAACAAATATCAAGGGACAATTTTTGAAGCGGTACAGAACCATTCTCCGTTCGACGTAGTAGCTTGGCACGGAAACTACGTGCCCTACAAATACGATCTCAGCAAATTCATGGTCATCAATTCTGTATCATTTGACCATTGTGTGAGTATTTATTGAATTATTGTAAATAATACAGAAACTATGGAATATTATTAATTCTAAGATTGAAAAAATTATAGTTTTGTTATTGTAAAAACCACAAATTATATCTTTCAAATTTCTAGGACCCGTCCATATTCACGGTACTGACCTGTCAGTCTACAAAGCCCGGCGTGGCGATCGCTGACTTTGTTATTTTCCCGCCGCGATGGTCAGTGCAGGAAAATACATTCAGACCTCCGTATTATCACCGTAAGACTTGTTTTGTTACAATTTGTATAACGTGGATAAATTTATCCAATCCTAACAATTCATGCCTAAACCAGAAGTCGAAATGTTGACTGATCTTGACTCAATTCTTTGTTATGTCTTGTTTTCAAGGAATATGTGTTAAATCGATGTTTCTTATTCAAGGGAATTGTATGAGCGAGTTCATGGGACTTATTCTGGGCTCATATGAAGCGAAAGAGGACGGTTTCCTTGCGGGCGGAGCATCATTACACTCTATGATGACGCCTCACGGACCCGACGCGCAGTGCTTTGAAGGCGCGTCTAATGCACAACTATCACCTCAGAAGATCGCAGTTGGCACTCAGGTTTGTATTACCGGGCGTTCGCACTGCAAAAACATCTCAATCGTATGTTTTAGTATAAATGTTTTGTGTATATTCCCACGCAAGATCGAAAAATGTTCTTTTTCCCGCCTTTGAAGTGTCATCGTAGTAGTCTTTTCTTTCGTTTTCACGTATATACCGACAAGTATATCTGACCCAGTGGGCATAAGTCAAACTAAATTATAACTGCACACTAACGCCCTCCTGTAAAAAGTCTAACAAGATCCTTTTTGTACTGCTTCTTATTTCGTGCTATTTTCTATGTCCTTGTAGATTTCACATATATTCAGGTATTGTTTTCCATTCAAGGATTATTTTTATGTATTACAGGCGTTTATGTTCGAATCATCTCTGAGTATGGCCATCACACGTTGGGGGCTGCAGACATGTCAGAAACGAGACGCACGTTACTACGAGTGTTGGCAGAAACTACCCAAACTGTTCTCTGATAAGATACAAGTTTAAATTTTATCGTCTTGTAGTCCGCTGTATACATTTATCAAGCTACAGAAATTTGTATACGTTTAGTTTATAAAATATGTATGCGTGTCTGTCTGTGCTGTCCAAAAATATAAGTTATTTACGGATAAGTGGAATTTTTAAACCTACAGTAGTTTCTGAACTTTTTTTGATGTAAACACATTTATGAAGCTGACTGTACATATGTCAACTATGTTATTTTTTGGAATCCAACCTTCATTACTCTTGTAACGTTTAAACATTTTTAAACAATTTTGGGGATAACACTTATATCTATTATGTTAGGTTTTGAAAAATAAAACAACACATATTACGATAGTCTTTAATTAATAATATTTAGCAGAGCTTAAAAATACATACCATTATTGAAATATTACAATAAAAAGATATTCAGTCGCATCATAAACGACGGGAACGTATAAGAAATAAATTAACACGGAATTAACTCACACGAACGTTGTGGAACCTTGTTTTATGGTTCTTAAACAAAAAATAATGTTTTACATAAATAAAATGCGTGTTTTTAACATAAACGATAGAATACGACCGACCACATTGCTCCTGAACATTAGGTTCAAATGCGGTATTACATATGAAGGGGAAAGCATGCTTTGTACAATTTTTATTTTTGGTGAAAACATGTCGTTTTTCGAGTAATTTTTCCGCAATATGTGAAGTTTTTTATAGTCCTGGAATAGATATTCTGATAGAAATAGATGTTAGTAAGGAAACATAAAAATTACAGTGAAATATGGTAGTATTTATAATCTATGAATCAACATTTATGAAATGAGATCGAAAATACACCTCCAGTAATTCCGAATGTGATAATTACTAATTATTTACTTAACAATTACCTAAAAGTATTTATTTAGCTAAAGATATCAAATTATTCATATGCTTAAGAAACAGTAAAGTAGTTAAACAAGAAGATAAATATAATGAATCATTACAAAATGACTGCTACACTCAGAGTCGTTACACCTTAGTGGTATTTTAATAAGAATTAATATTATGACAATGGGTTCCGCAAATCATGTATTTTGCGTGAATATAAGACATATTTACCGTCTCTAATTCACTAATTAACAACTCTGAGAGATGAAATAAGAATTACTTCTGCTACAAAACAAACAAAAAATCATGTAATACCGAATTAGGACCTAAGTGTTTGAGGCATGTCTAGACTTGTCTCTGGTCTGGTCTGTGGTATGTTGTGAGGGTGTGTGAGGGTGAGGGTGTGACGGTGCGGGGATGCTCAGCCATGGTTGACGTTGACGCCGGACTCCAGCTCGGAGGCGGGCGTCTCCGGCTCCTCGTCGTTGTAAATATTCTCCGCCATCTGCCATACCTGTATACATCATATTAATATTATAAATGCGAAATATTGGATGGATGGATGTTTGCAGCCTAAACGACTGAACGGATTTCAATAAAATTTGGTATAGATGTAGAGGATAGTTTTTTTTTTTTTTTAATTTCACGAGGGCGGAGTCGTGGGCGAAAACTAGTACAATATAATTTAGAAATACAAATAGTTTTTTGGTAATAGTGAATTACAGGTCATAATGTTTAAAAAACCAGATATTGTATACATAAAGCAAATCATTGTAGAAAAGAATCCTCAACACTAGAGAGGGTTTTCTGGATTAACCAAGACTTGAGTTTGTTTTTATAAGTGTTATTGTTACTCGCGACTTTGCCCGCGTGAAATTAAAAAATATAGCTCACAGATAAATTATCTTTTTAACAGTTTACCGTTTCTTTTAAGAATTTTTAAAATCAGCTAAGTAGTTTTTGAGTTATCTAAATACATACATAAATACAAATCTTTTCTTTTTATAATATTAGTATAGATTGCACTATTCGAATTTTCACTTTACAAGTTATATTCGCTTTGCACATAGAAACGACGCGGATTACATTGTCGGAAAAGACCCTAAATATGTAGTGAATGGAATATCACACTACCTGCATAATATTGTCTTCGGAGACGGAGCAGATGACCCAGGGCTCGTTGGGGTTCCAGGAGAAGTCTGAGATCTTGGCGGTGTGTCCTCCGTGGATGAAGAGCAGCTCGGGAGGGCCGTCCTCCGCGTCCTCCGCCGTCTGCTCCTCGCCGATCTTCGACAGGTCCCACACGTGCAACCTGGATGACAGACTGGTATTAAAAACGCGAACTTTGGGTAGATGGGTATTATCTACATATCTAATACTAGCTGTTGCTTGCAACTTCGCCCGCAGGAAATTAAAAAAATAGATGTTACTCACAGATAAATTACCTTTCAAATGGTGAAAGAATTTTTGAAATTGGGCCAGTAGTGTTTGAGTTATTTCAATACATCCAAAAATAGCCACTAAAATTTCCACTATATAAGTATATAGCCGAGGTATACCTCCTGTCGGTGCCGCTGCTGGCGAGGATGGTCTCGTTGTGCGGCGACCACTGCACCTGGAAGATCTCGTCCTTGTGCGACTCGAATGAGTGCAGCTTCAGCTTCAGGTTGCGCAGGTCCCACAGCGCCACCTGCACCGCCACGTCACACATCTCATTATACACAGAACAACAACAAATACAACAACAACAAAGTTATTACAAGTTTTGTTTGCTCAATGCTCAATACACTTTAGTCTGTTCCCTTACATTTTCTTATAATGTGAAGAAATGGATTTGGAAGGAGATGAATAGAAAGAAGTGAAAAACTCTGGATATCTATAGGTAGCGGTCACTTCGCTTATCAGGGAAAATCTTTAACTAAAGTATTTACAAGTTGAAATGGCAATTCATTCAATTTGGTGGTAGTATAGTGAGAGGTACCGTCTTGTCAGCACTGCCGGTGGCCAGGATGAACTCCGAGTAAGGGTTGAAGCTGAGGCAGTTCACCTCCGCCGTGTGCGCGTCCACGGTGTGCGACGGCTTCGACGTGTTGTTACATCTAGTTACATAAACAAATATACATACATATTAATTTATTCAGTTAAGACGGGAGATTTCATTATTCATTACTACCTTTCGCCTGCGACTCTGTCCGCGTGAATTTAAAAAAAAAAACAAAAGCCTTTGTGTTCTTCCAGACTATCTACGTCTATGCGATATTTCATTCATATCCATTCAGGTGTTTAATCTACAAACTCTAACAAACATCCATCCATCCATCTCAACTTTCTCAGTGATAATATTTGTGAGAAGATAATAATGGAGACATATGAAAAGATTAGCTACATAAAAATAATAATTATTTTGAAACCAGAACCATTGAAGAGGTGTCTTTGCAACCTTGCCTACATTTATATATGTTTTTTTAATCTGAAAGTCAGAAATCTTTGTTTTAAAAGCAATTTATGTTATTGAAATCTCAACTTTAAATAATATATACCTAGTATCCCAGATCATGAGTTTCTGGTCATCAGCAACTGAGCCAAAGAGTGACTCGTGCAGGAGATGCCAGGCCACATCCTCCACCACGGCCGTGTGTCCCGTGAACACTGACTTCGCTTCAATTACACGGCCCTCCTTCGGGGTAGCATTGATGTCCCATAGACAGATAGTATGGTCATCACTGAAACAATTGTTTTCTATACTTATAAAGCGTAAACACACACTGCTTATGTAGGATGTTAGAAATCACAGCATAAAGCCAGATCCTTTGTAAATTTCATCAAAAAAACAATAAAGATAAAGAATCATCGATCGATTGGCCTGGTTCCTATATGAAGCTCTAGGCGTTTTGTAGGAGCCAGAGTTCTTCTATCTTAGTGCTAAATCTAATCTTTAGTTATTACCTTGCAGAGAGTAAATATCCATTAAGATTAGGGTTCCATGATAGTCCATAGCCTTCTTTTTGGTGTCCTCGCAATCTGAAACAAAGAGGGAAATATGTAAATAACACTATTGAGCAAATAACTTTAGATAAAATGCAAATGTATTGTTTATCTAAGAAAGAAGAAGTTTGTTAGTAGTATGTAACGAAGCTTTCTAGATCCAAAGTCTTGGCTTAGAAATATAACTAAAAACATCCTTCAGTAATACCAAATCACACAAGTTGACACAAAACTAACAAGAGATTGCCAACATGAAAATCTTTTACTAGAATAGATTAGTGTTAATTTTACCTAAGGTCTGGATGACATTCTCCGGAAGGTTCTGGTTTTGAAGGATGCTTTGTGTAATCAAACACAAGGACATCAGAGGAAGGTGTCTTAGTTGCAATGACGCAGGGGTTCTGCGGCATGTAGCGGGCCCGGTTCACCTCACCTTCATGGTTTATTTTGATCTCTATATCTATTTTTCCAGACACAGAACCGAAACCACCAAATTCTGAAATATTTACAAAAATTGTATAGACATTTCTTCAAAACATTTTTTGTAGTTTGAGACATGTGGTTGACCAAGTTATTTCCTTCTTTGTTACTAAGAAGTTTTTATTGTAGGTATACCTACAAAGCTTCCTCGTGATGTAAAATTTTTAAAATTTGTATGAAATATGATGTTTTTACCTCCTTTATCATTATCATAATGACTGGCATCAAATTGTGCATCTTCATTTGGAAGCTGAACGCTAGCAATTAGCAGATGATTCTGCTCATCTGATGTGTGTGTGCCCAAAATCAATCTGAAAGTATATATAAAATATAGAATTATAAGAAACAAGATTATTCCACTATCAACAAAATGAACACAAACAAAAGATATAAACTCATAACAGAACTTTTTTATACACAGTATTGACAATAATAAGGTTCCTCTACAACTACATGTTCCAGATTGATGTGGCAAGTAATGATATACTATTGATTTAGTTCGACTTTTCTAAGTAATACAAAATAATATATAAATAATAAACGTCCAGTATTCAAAAACGAATTGACATTGACAAAAGATGAATTTGAAATCCATTGATATGAATTTAAATGCAATGTTTCTATCATGTTTTACCTGTGTACTGAATAATCTTTTCCTTCTGGCCTGGTGACGTCTGGGAGCCATTGAGCAGTAAGCGAGGGCCATTCTAGAGCATGGGTCATCACCAGGTCGTATAAGAAAGGTGTATTTTTCTTCCATATTTTATATTCTTCGTTTATAACTCTCTCTTCAACCGCATCATCAAACGTTTCTATATACATAAAAAATGACAATATAACGCTGTTGTACTGTTAACCAAAAAACAAAAGGTAAGCTGTCACTGAAATTGATCATTTATTTAAAAAATACAAACAAAATGAATTGATTTTACCTCCATCGCCTTTGTCGCCCATTTTATATTGCTTGCGAACTTTAGTTCGCTTTTAAATAAATGCCTAATAATTTATAATATCTAACCGGCCCCGCAAAGGCGCCAAACAACAGCCTTTTCTCGGCGTTACCGTCCAACAGACAATACAATACAATAGGTACTTCCGGTTAAACACGACGAAAACCACAGATGTTATATTTTTTACTCTTTGTTAAAAAGACTAAAGTATGTTTCTATTAAATCGAGAGAAGAATTAAGGAAAATTCTTGATGAAACAGAGCATCTGCCGAATTACCGACATATTACAATGATATTTTGTCCACCAATTCCACGAAAAGTTAACATAAGACTAAACGTTTTCAAATATATTTCATCTATTGCACTCTATGCTGTAGGCAACTCACTCATCCATTTATCAGGTTTTAATTTGACAATTGACATTGACAGGTAATCAAACATGGCTGATGCAGCTGCTGCACGTCGCGAGGCACGTAGAAAAAGGATTTTAGAAAATTCTCACAATAGATTGCAACTTATATCAGGAAAAATCAACGATGAATGTTGCAAAGGTACGTGTTTGTAAAACTATCGTACTATTCATACTTAAATATAGTGTTAAATAATTTTGTTTCTTTACAGATTCTCTTCGAACTCCTATGCTTGATCTAAATGTTGACGTACCTCTTATAACAGAGGTTAATTCAGTTAATACCTGTTTTGTAAATAATGGAGTGATACCCAGTAATTTGGAGACACAAGAGTTTACAAGTGGAAATGCAGATGTACTCAATGACTTGACATCTTTACTACCACCGACACCTGAACATTCACCATCACAACACTCCTCGATAATCGGTAAACTAGTCGATAATAAATATGACATAGTTCTATTATCATTATTCATACAAATACTTAATGGACTGTCTATATTTAATGTGGAAAAATCATATTTTTTTCTACCACTAGTCTTATATGTTGTGACTAAATTATTCTTTTTTCCAAATGAAAGTAATTCCAGTATTGCTAACACTCTTTTACAATTGCAAGGAATTTCAGCGCAGAATGTAAAAGTAATATTAAATGTTATGCAGCTGTTTATGGTCATTTCAAGAGATGTTTCTGTGTTTTTATTTACAACTATATGCCTACAATCAATTCCCATCATGTTATTAGATGTTATCACTTAATGTACAATATGTTGCATTTAGTTTTGTAAACAGATGCATTGTACAAACAGCTCATTGTTATTGTTTTGGGGCATTAGGGCATGTATGGAACAGTAATTATGATGGCTTGAGCCTTTGAAGAGAGAATTTGTGAGATGTGTCACTTATTGCCATTTTAGTTTTAATATAGTGCATTAAATTTGTGTTAAAATGGGAACTGGTTATCACAATATATGTTTTATAAGAAGGGTGTTTCCTATTGGATCAATTAACTGGTGAGCCAATCGGTCCAACAGGAAATAATCTGTATAAAGTCAAAATGAACTTCCATTATTATTATTCTGAGACTGTAATTATTGCTGTGTTTTTATGGACTTCCTGTAGCATGTTATAATTTTGGAGATTGGGGTATAGTTTGACTCTTTTTTTACTCTGGTGTTGTAAGGTTACAGTTAGTGTGATTTATTAGTTTTATAAATATGCTGATTTTAAATTGATTTTTGTAGCTTGATATTTTCACTTTATGTGCCAGTTCTTCACCAAATTGTAACAAGATTTGATCTGTTTTTTATATTTATAGATTGCATATTAAAAATATTAATTGTGGCTAACTCTTAGCCTATGTAAGCCTTGGCTCTTAATCTATATTGCATTTAATATAATGCACAGTTATTGCAACTGCTGTATATTTTTATATGTACATTTTAATACTATTCTGATGATATTTAGCTTGAAGAATAATATTAACACTTTCCGTGCCACTTACCTTTAGGGTTCTTTCATACAAATTGTAGCATGGGATGTGTTTAACTCTTGTATTAACATTGTATATGCTTTCAATGTTAAATGTATATTATGTACTCATGCCTTTAGACTTTGGATAACAAGGTCAGGTTAAAATCAATTTGTATACATTAAAACAATTAAGTTTTATAAAATGAACTCTGGCAATTTGTGTCATTTTTTTTTGTTAATCAAATAGTCAACAAATTTTTGACAAAAACCTGTTGCGCCGACCCTACGGGAGTAGGATAAGATGATGATGATGAAATAGTCAACAAGACAAACAGTAACTATTCAAAGCTTACTAACTACTGAGTCTTCTTTTAGATTTATTTCTTGAGACTGGTCACAGATGTTGGGTGCTGGTCTCAACTCAAATAGTGAATTTTAAAGTTTTTGAGTATATTTTGCATATCCCATTAGACATTTGCATTAGTTTGTCCTTTATAAATGCAAAGCGCTTAAATTGTTAATTTATTGAATACTATAGTTTAGTTTACTTCTGTCAATGGCATTGTGCATAATGTCAGAGTTCATTAAAGTTTTAAGTTTCACTTGAAATTAGGACAATACTAAATAAAAGTCCATTATGAAATAAATACTATAAGATTTTTCAATAAATGTAATCTACGGTTTGTACTTGAATTTTAATATAATGGCTGTAAAAATCAGCTTTTATCATGTAATATAAAATTGTTTCTGTATGTAATGGATTTCGGAAAATGTATAACTCAGTAATGTACCAAAGATATCTCTAAAATTCAAATGTTATTACTTTCACTGTACATTTTTTTCTTTTTTTATTAATGAAAATATGACTATGTAATGGAACTCAAACATTTTTTTTTATAAAAATAACATTACAGCAATCACCAAACTAAAGTGGGAAAACTAATTTGTCATATGTCTAAAAATATCTTGCTGTATCAGCCAGTATAACGCCTGCTACATTAATTCAGTTTTAACTGAACAACTCAACTGTTCAATTAAAAGTGAATGGAATAAGAAAGCTGCAGTAATTTGTGTTGTCACAAAAATTGTATTTAATGAAAACAAAATAGATTTTATTTCAATTATATTTTGTAAAATATTCTAATAAAAATTGTTGTAATAAAATTTCCTTTTGTTTTATTGTTCATACAACACGGTTTCTGAAATATAAGTAAATTATTTTAGGAACATTATAGGCTTATTATGTCATTTATTTTAATACTAGCTTTCCCTCACGACTCCGTCCGCGTGGAATTAAAAAAAGCCTGTGTTTTTAGTCTGTTCTACATCTACGCTAAAATTTCATTGAGATCTGTTCAGCAGCTTAGGCTACAAACTCTAACAAACATCCATCTATCTAAACTTTCGAATTTATATTATTAGTAAAAAAAGATGAAATCTAAAGTACCTTATCTTTACTAATAACCATACTGGTGTAGGAGCATTACTCTCCGCAATCTCATTATGGCAGATTTTGTAAAATGGGCTCAAAATTATATTCTATAACTAACAAATATTGTGTCATAAAAAGAAAATTATTCTAAATGAAAGATTGCATAAATAAAACAAACAACTAAATGAATGTCATTCTAATAATGATTTTTTTTAACAGATGATATTAATGAACTATCATTTACAGAAAGTACATTACATTAAGCGAAAAAAATTAAAACTTAAAGAAACTCTTAATGCTATCTATCATGTTCTTACTTCGTTTAGTTTCCGGAGGTTGTTTGGCTTTTGTGTCACTCGTGCTCTGACTTTCTAAGGACTTATTTGCTTTAATACTGTTTGATTCTTTATTTGTACTATTTATGTGCTTAATTTCTGAAACATTCGTTGATGTCAATTGTGAATTTGTTAATTTTTCTGTTTCAGTAAGACTATGTTCTTTTGACACTTCGGTTTGTGTCAAAATACTTGTTTGTTCCTCAATATATTTTACATCAATGTTTTCCGTATGTTTTAAGTCAATAAAATCGTCAGAGCACCCGATTTCCTATTGTTCTTTTACTGATTTCGATTTCTTCGGTTGTCGTATTGGTTTCTGTCGCACCAAATCTGTACGGCCAATAGCAATCATTTTCATCTCCCAAGCTTCTAGATCTTTTCTGTAAAAATATATATATATCTATAAAATATATGTCTATAAAAAACATATGTCATTTGCTACAGTAAACATTCATAAAAACAACGGAATTCTCAGAACAGGACATTTATCTCACTGAAAGATGTTATTCATAAAAAACAAACATTTTAACACCCTTTCCTTGATTTAAAAAAAATATATGATTTAGAAAGGTTTTGTGGACCTTCATATCATAATTGAGAGTATAAGTTTATTATAATTTCATACTGATATAATGGAACTTAATAAGTACTGTCAATCATAACTTACTTGTATTTATCCATAAGCAATTGTGCTTGTTTTTCATACTTCACTCTTTCACTTTCAGGCAACTTTAACCAATCCTTTTTTATCTGTTCTTGGTACTCCTTCATACTGTTACCTTGTAAAAGATCTTTTTTTGTCTGTATAAATAGAAAGTAGGAAGACATTGGTTTTTTCGGTTTTCCCATTTCTTTTAATTCCTGTAAAGTATACAAAAAATGTAGAATTTTCATATTATCTACTCCCCATAGGGTTAGCGGACCGGGTTTTCATCCTCCAAAGCACTCATCATCTGTCATCTCAGTCATTACTCCCTTCTTGATCATGTCACCTTTTCAAATTATATATACTGATATTTTAAAATGTAATCCTTTGGATTTTTTTGCATAGTTTATGCTCCTAAAACTACTAGTCCAATTTAAAAAAATCCTTACACTGTTGAGGGTCTACATAACATAGATTATATTTATAACTAGACAAGAAAAGAAAATCTTTTTCTAGTAATAAATATAATTTATTCATCACAGATGAATGTGGAGCCTATGCCAGGAATACCTAGGCCATAGTCAACCAAACTGGACCATTAACTTCATTTCCTACATATCTTTGATTGTCTACACTCGCAGGTTACATTACAATATTTTTTCACTACAAGAATTTTGGAATTGTCAATAGATAAATGACTTACGGCTTTTAGTTTTCTCTTCTCTTTAGCTGCAGACATTTCAGCTTTAAGTTTCTTTATGTCTTCTTTCTGTTGCTCCGTCAATGATGCTTCATACAATTCCTTTATCTTTTTATAATCCTCCTGATCTTTTTCATATTCTTTTACCATTTGCGCCTTTGTCTGGAAATTATAGATAATGAAAACATAAGATAAGTTAATTAAATAAGCATTTATTAGTTATCAGCCTGTAATGCAGTACAGGTAGACTCTGCTCACTGAATGATGTAATTGTAAAATAATAGTTATATTCTAGTCTTGGGCTTAATCGGACATCTGCAAGTGCGCACCGTACTAGTACAATTGGGAAAACGTACTAGTACACACTTTTAGTACCTTTAGTACTTCAGATTTGTGAAAACACAATACATGAATAGAATATAACGAAAGTTTTACTTCACATCAAATTTTAAGCAGGATCAAACATATGTTATTAGCGAAAATAAATTTATGAATGATTTTATCCACTTTTGATTCTCATTATCGAAGGTGGATGCTTCAATCTGACAAAAAGGCGAACACCAATATCGTGTAGTGTACTAAAAGTACTAAATGTCCGATTAACAGAAGCCGTTCGGTAACATTACTTTTAGTACAGTGCCGGGTAACATTACTTTTTAGTACATCGTACGTGTACTATCCAAGACTATTATATTCTGTTTTGTTACTAACATAGTATAAAAGATTTACTAACAATTTTATAAGCTGGTTTTTAGGTTCTTTTTATTATGACTTCTCTGGTTACTTATTTTGTATTTTAATCAGGTCAGGCAAGTTTGGCACACTGTACAAATATAATGAAAACAGAGAAATAATCTATACCTCACTATCAAGTTGTTGCCAGTGTTTTGACATCCATGCAATAGACTCCTTAGATGTTATGCCAGGATTTTTAGCTAGAAGTGCTGGCCGCATTTGACTCATGAATTTAAAAAAAGGTGTCAATGGCCTTTTAGGTTTTTCTATCCCCAATTTCTCTTCAGCTGACTTTTTAGTGTAACTACATACTTGTATATTGTTTAACCAGTTCGCCCTGTAAAATTCAATAATACAAATGAACAATGATAAAGGAGTTAAAATTAAAATCGAATCAGCGCTGTTTAATTTATATATGTAGAATCGAGAAGATGTGAAATGAGTAATTTACAGAAATCTTTTTTATAATTTTAACACATGAAACAAAAAGTCTTTTACAAACAATAACAAATTAGCGTCCTAACCTATAACTTACCTTGTATGTAGAACAGTTTTATAGCTTCCTACCACGTAATTACTCAGACGACTTATCTGAGTAATTGACGACATTGTTATGTTATATTTAAAAACGGATTATTATGTTATTTAATTCTTACTTAGAACAAATCAGAATCACAATTTATAAAAATAAAATTGACCATCCCAGTGTACCATAGAGTAAAAATCAAGAACTATCAATTGTCAATGTCATCGTTGATGACATATTTGTCAAAGACTAATTTCACAGAGTTGTAGGCAGTTTGTTTTTGGGAAAATCATCACTTGGTACAAAATATGATATGCTTGTAAAAATATGATTAAAACTATGATTTAGCGGGCGACTTATTTTTTTTTGGCTTCTGTGTGCTTTTCCGTTCATGTTTTCTCTATCAAAAGCTGAAGAAATAGTTTCTCTAAATTATTAAATAAAAATAAAGGTCTTGAAAAACTTTAAAATGATTTTAAAGACTTATTTAGTAATGGGCGTTTCTTGTCCACTTCCGCTCTTTCTACAGTTTTACATTTAAGCTGATCTCTTGTGACCGCTTTGCAGCTCTGTTCTGTTGCCTACGATGTATTATTTAATACCATATTTACTGTTTTATTATTTCATTGAAACGCAATATGTTTAAAATCATTTTTTTTTATTGTTACACATTATTTACAAAATTGCCGACTTAAAATTAATATTTACATCATATTTTACTAGTTACTTTAGTCACTATTTTGGCAAAACGGAGGTGGGATTTTGCGTGGCTTTTATTACATCTTATACTTTCTTGTTATTAAGTTTCTCTTTTCTCTATTTAGTCTAGCATTAAGAAACTTTCGAATAAAGAACAAAATGGTAAAATAAAACAAAGTCTTTTGATTTAAGGCTATACACATTACATTTATATACTCTGTTTGTTTATCCCAAACATGTGAATGTTACTTTAATAATATTCATTTACGTGACGAAATGAATAAATTATACGTAAGTTAGAAAAATTAAATAACTATATACTAAAAATTACAACATTTGTTCCTATTTACAACTTCACGGCTCTTATGAGAACCAACATATTGTTTTTTACAAAACTTACCAAAACAAACTTATACATTCTTAACTATGACAATACGTTTGCATAATTTATTAAAAAAAATGCATAGATTGATTTTTTGTTGTTATTCAGATGTTCTTATAACTTAACATAATTTAAATTTTATATACAATTTATAATCGCATCAATAAAAACGATTTACTTATGTACATAATCATATCAACATTTTAATTACGCATCTTTAAAAATCAACTGATGCAAATATTAACAGTAATTAACAGACTTAATTTCAATGGCACTTGTTTATCCATATGTCAATGTAAATACAGATTACAATAAACGTCACCGGATGCGTTTTGACAGCTACTGAATTAAATAGGGTAAATTGATTAGCCCGTCAGTCATAGTATTGTTTCACCCGCCGAATAATGATAATGCCTTGGTTTCCTATATGATTGGTGTTGAGGAGGTCTGTAAGTTGCATACTTGTGCGTATGTCTTGGTAGAGAATGCGAATGTGTACTGTAACATTGCAATGTCAACGGAGTAGGCGTTGGCCCCGCTGGACATTTAGCAAGCGTAGGCTTCGTTGGACCTGAAATTCTTCTCCAAAGCGCTTTTAAGCGTGGCGTCGCTATCCAAACTGCGACCATGACGCCGAGAATTTGTGTTGCAAATATTCTGAACAGAAACACCCAGAATGCCGGCCGCGGCTGCGTCGATGGTTCAAGTGAAGGTTCAGGAGCGGCAAGCCAATCATCACGCCAAGTGTACTCGTATATCCAAGTGGCTAGTATACATGTAGAGGGTACAGCATAAAGCGCTGCAAAAGCGCCAAGTCTCAGTAGACTTTGGTCTGTATGTGGCTGTGGAGGAGCGTTGAGAAGCGCTGCGGGTGCTGGTATGGGCGCCGGCCGTCGGAGGACGGTGCGCAGGCCCGAAGCAAGGAACAGGCATCCAAGCAGCAAACAGATGGCTTCGGGTATGATCACCAGCGCCAGCAATGATTTGCTCGATTGGTTTCCCACGAAGCATGTACCTGGAAAAAGTAAAAAAAAATTAGGTACACAGGAGTGTAATATGTTAATTAAGAATGCATAAACTTTATATAAATTACTACGTAAACTAATAGCAAATAACTATGCAAAGAGTGCAATGCAGCGGATACGAAGCCTTTCTCTCGAGTACCATTTATCGGTGGTGAATAACATTCCGTTTCCCTATAAAGCAGCTCTCAAAGCGAACACCTACACAAACAGCCGGCGAGAAAAAAGCCTCGCATTAATAAGGCAGCGGTTAAAAGGGCCGATTTAAAATTGAAATACGATCGTGCGAGGTGGAAAGGTGTCGTATTTAACGGCTCGAATAATGGCCGAGCATTTCTTTCGGCCAGTATTATAATGGAAACGAAAATAATAAAAATGAACCGACAATACACTTTGCAAGATTAAAACAGAACGCTTGAGAAATGCGCCGCTCGCTCCCACCTTTTAAATAGAAATAAAACGTGTTAAGAACTATGTAATCAGGAATATGAAAAGAAAAAGGGATTGGAAATTAAAAAAAATATGAATGTGTCGTTAGGAACCCTAACCTTAAAAATCTTATATAACTATTACATTTCTTTGCATATAGTTAAAATTTCCTTATAAAACAATATATACCTACATGAAAAATGAGGCATATAAATGAACGATGTGTGCTAAAAAAACATTCAAATATTTTCATTGTACCGAGTGTGCTTATAGTTTAAACTTCTTTTAACAATAACATAAGTTAAACTCTAATTACTTTAAGTTGAATTGAAATCAAAAATTCCGTGCAGATTGTTCTAAATCCGGTTGGAAGGCGGCAAAACATTTCGGTAGCGACTGATCAAAGCGGCACTTCAATTATTCACGTAAGAGTTGCTTATCTGTAGACCAAAAACACCGCACTACGCATAAGTTATCAAAGTATATCCCATTATCAAATAAGCTGGGAAAGATATAATACTTAATAGTCCGCGTTACAATAACGCCGCACAGATAATGCTTGAATTCATGGTAATTAGTCAAACAACAATACAGAGCAAAGTTACATCTCTTTGTAGTCGGAAAATTGCGCTGTTTTAAGTTTAAGATGAAGTAATTGAAGTCACCGACACAGGCGGCACGCGACTAAGTTACGATAAGATTCTGTCGTGTAAAAGTTCCCCTTGATAAGGTGCTATGCAATATTTGTTTACTTTATAAAACAAATGTTGATTTTCTAGTACTAGCAATCTCCAGAGACATCGTCCGCGTAGAACAAATAACAAAGTTAGTTCTATGGTCTATGCTAGGCTACAATTTATGTCTGTTCCTATCAAATCTCTTAAACAATTCTAGAATTATGTGATAACAAATCTTGTAATTTGGCAGACAAGTCAATTAACTTTCGCCCGAAACTCCGTCCGCAAGGAATAAAAAAAGAAGTAAGTAGCCTATGTGTTCTTCCTATTCTATACCTACATCTGTACCGAATTTCATCGAAATCCGTTCAGCCGTTTAGGCTAACTCTAGCAAACATCCGTACATCCATCTAAACTTTCGCATTTATAACATTAGTATGTAGTATGATTTCTGCTACGAAATCTGCTATAATAACAGTATTCAACGGTACATAAATTCAAAATGTATTCAATATTGGGCAGGGTATATTTAACTAACAATTGATTTTTTTAATCTTAAGAGTCATTATTAAGTTTGTAGGTCTGAATAGGCGCGGTGGGTAGTTGAAGACAAAACGTTGAATGCGGTTATTGTATGAAACGCATGCTCCCGCGCACTCGCGCAAGATTTAATCGCTTTGAAAAACGCCGCCGATCAAATAATCAAGGGGAACATTACCAAGGAATCGTAATCATTGTACAGCCGATACGGATGTTAGACTTGTATTGATCCATGGCGTACCAATACGATCTTTCTTGATCCTTGATTTTTTTTTACAAAATCATTCAAAAGAATATTTATGCTTATAACACACTCAAGCAATTTAATTTTGCTACATGTTCAAGTAATACTCGTAAGTTCTGTATTTATCCCAAAGTCAGTCAGAACAAAGTCAAAGAAAAGAACAGAATCAAAGTCAGACAGTCAAAGTCCCGTCCAAATTTGTCCATCCGTTCCAGATATAGCGGTCCAGTCGCTATTTTGCCAGCGCGGAATTAAAATAAAGTAGCCTATAATATGCCCGTCTATGTCAGCTACCCTTAAGTGAAAGTCCTGTCGAAATCGGCCCAGCCGTTTCGGTGATATTACTTTTAACACAAGAATTTCGGGCGGACTTTACCTAACAGTTTCAAAAGTACATACGCTTAGTGGTATAAGCCTTAATTGGATTTTAAATTCCTATCCATCATATTTAGAGTCAGGCAACCAGATGTAATCATAATAAATGACAAAATTAATACTTTTATGACATCGTCGCGACGTAAAAGTTATAATGCTTTGAACTTATCTCTAATTCTAATTAGGGAATGTATACGCGCATACAAGAGAATTAAATGTTCCTATTTTTAATCCGTTACACGTGTTAATTAAGATAAGGGAATAATCCAACTTAAAGTAATAAAATTTGGCCTAAAAATAAACTAAACTAATGCCAGGGATTATTTAGAATTATTTAATTAAGGCGACCCTGTTTTCGAGGTGTGTTTTTGGTACGCAGACTACACAATCGGATTTATCTTCCTCTATCTTGCTCAATTGGTGCCTATTCTATTTTACACTACTATATGAGGGTTCCCTGACTTTGACGCTTTTTTCTGTCCAGCGCCCTGGACAGTCGACCAGCCACGCACTAGTCTATTACTAATAGTATCATACTATGCTGCTACTGTTCCCATGCCCTCTCTCTATAATAGAAGTCACAATGGACACTGGATTCTAAAATTAAGTGGCCAACATTAAAGACTCGTTTCGCTTAACTCTAGATAGGAAGTCCTAACTTCCTAATGAAGCCACTATAAGAAGCTAGAAGTATATTTCTGTATCTCTACACTTCTGCTTGGATATTAAAGACTCTACCATACAAAGTTAACTTACCAGTGAGTTCATCCGCGTCGACATCTCTAGTGACGAGTACCGCTGCTGCCAGTGCAGCGGGCACCCCCCACGCGGCTAGCTGCAGCAGCGAAGAGTGCCGATCTCCGCGTGCGCCCGTACCCCCCGCACCCGGCGCGCCCGGAGCAGGGGGTCGCAGCACGCTCGCACGCCACGCACCCGCAACCACAACCCACCTGGAATAAGAAAATTGCAGTTACATATCTGTACAGACACAATACTTATTTCCAAGTTAACTGCCACACTCAGAGTCAATTACGGTTTAATCACAACTTAAACATCCCTAATGTGCACATTTGTAAATCTACACTCAATGATTTATACCTAAAAAAAATAATTAATTGTCACGTAAACACAGAAGTTATACAATATAATGTCTCGTTATCATACTAATATAATAAATGCGAAAGTTTAAATGGATGGATGTTTGTTAGAGTTTGTAGCCTAAACGGCTGCACGGATTTCGATGAAATTTGTTACAGATGTAGAGGATAGTCTGGAAGAACACATAGGCTACTCACTTTTTTTTTAATCCACGCGAACGGAGTCGCAGGCAAAAGCTAGTTTGTAAATAAATTTATAAATAATGAGACATTATAGGTTTAATTGAAAATTACTAAAATATACGTAGTAAAACCGTTGATGATAAAGGTATGACAATTACAGCGATTAAACAGCGAATGAGAGCTCGGGTATGCAGAGCATCAGCTGTAAGAACAGGTGAAACCGTTTTATAGCGAAATATTGCCGTGGCAAAATAAACAACGCCTTTATATCTTTTAAATGATAAATGCATTTACCGATCTGTTTTTTCGTTTCCTAATTAGATGTTTGCACCAATATTGTTAAAGAGAATTTTTATACTGAACGACGTAGTCTACCTTAACTAATCTGAAGAATAAGTTATGTTATAAGCTATACGTTTACCAACATATTAAACTGTAAATGTATAAGTCGTTAATTATGTATTTTTTTGATTATGAAAAGCTTAAACTGAAATACGAGCGTTGTCAACCCCTTGCTTAGCTCGTTAAAAACTCTGACAGGTAAATCCATCCCGACTCGAACGGGAAAGGTGTCGCCTTGTTTTAAAACCGACACCACATTAAATAGACCTCCCCTCAAGAAATAAGATACTATACTATTAAGTCTTAAAAGAATTCTTCGAGGCCGTGTTAAACTGGACAAAGAAACAGGCAGTGGCGTGTCGCTCGCACTTGAACAAACAACGTTCCCTGTTTGAACAGAACCGAAAGTGGCGATAGTCCAAACATTCTTGTTTGTTCGCTTGCTCGCATGTTTGATCCGGCATCCGACGCCAGCGGCATGTCGGCTAACATTTTACTAATGTTTGTACGATTTGCATTCAACTCATTGTACATTTACATCTACTCTTTGAAACAACTGTACTTATTGTCAAGCAAAGATAAATCGAAATAGCATTCCTTAATCTTTGACAAAAAAAATATATTGCCATTTTTGGACCAATTATATTTTTTTAATAAAGGTAGACTTTTCCTTTTTTTAAATGGTGCAGAATTAGTATAATTTAATTATAAAATAATTGAGGTCAAATGTAAAACGTAGATAAAAAATAAATTTATGCAATGTTGATGCTTTTTTATACGACAAAGACATTAATTTTGTGCAATTAGCAAAAAAATGCAAGGTTATAATTTTTTTTTCGTGCAATATCTTACTGTAATCTGATACAGTGTGCCAGTGCTACGTATCTAATTACATCTTCATGAATAAATAATATCACTAAGGCCTAATTATTTCTTAAGCAGTATTATCATAATTAAGACCAATTACGGAATTTTGTATTTATTAACAACAACTTTGAAAATTCAGCCAAATGGGACGCTTCAATCAGCTTTCTGTTACATCCATCAATTTCTAATGTACACAAAGCAATTAGTTCCATATTTTTCCGCAATATGGCGAGTGTTTTTAATTTTAACAAAGGTTATTAACCTTCAACTGAACGTATATTTGAACTTTCCAGATGGCCCTCTTTTTAATTGTATTGCATACTCTTTCGTAAATAACTTTGATTATTTTAATGGTTATTATTGATTTTAATACATTTATATGAGTAAACAAAAATGGTGTTAAGTAAACAAATTGCCAATGCATTTGTAAAATGCAGAGTATCGAGAAAATGCAAATGATATTACGGTCAAACCAAAAGAGGTCTGTCGTTTCTCGCTTGGCTGCATTGAGGTTTTTTTTTATTTTTTATGGCGGCCGCTTCGTGTCTTGCCTCAAGTGGCCATTAAACGATAACGTTATCTTGTGGGTAACGATTGGTTTCACGCTATATTACCAAGATTGGATTACGAGTGAATTATGGAAACAATAAAACATGTAAATCAAAGTCAAATTACGAAACATGTGAAAAATGTTAACTGTAATATTAACCACATCTTTAGTGTTTTAATTTCTTTAACTCCTGGCAACTAGCAGACCACTCGCATAACGACAATCTTTTTATTCCATATTTATATATATTTTTACCAAACTCCACTGCCATTTTATTCCACAGATACAAAATTAGACTAGTAGTGCATTTTGTAAATTTTTTATACATTTAATTTTTCCCGCCAATTATTCCTATCAGTATTAACAACATCGTACGCCAGACGCGTAGTAAAAATTAAAGTAAGCTCGTAGTATATTTCTTAGGTGCGAGATAGGATCGGCCGCATAAAGAAGGCTCGTTAAGACGATCGTAACAATAAAATCCAACACCCACAGCACTAGTTAGGTGAACGGACCCATTTATTGCCTCGGACGCATGTTCCCCTCCCATATATTTTCTTGTTCACTTTTTTCTTCTGATATATCGATATAGCAGGAAAATTTAAACGCTTTTTATGACTATGACCCTATTTGTTAAGAATTATTGAAGATTTTTTTTTGTTTATTTACTTAATATTATTGATGATACGCCTAACATTAACATATAAATGTTAAGTTTGCTTGCACAACCCCCGCTTGATTTCTATAGATAAATAAATAAAAGTTTAGTTTAGACTAGATTTCTTCTATATGATTTTTTTCTCATGTCTGCATTTCGCAGCCCCTTGTCTTGTCTCAATGATCAATTTGCATATCATATTACAAGCAAGTCATCATGGCCCTACGTAGGGTCGGAGTTATTTCTGGCGCTCGTTAAATCGATTACCCGTCCAATTCGTCCGTCTTGCCTGCCGTGGCCGGCGTGCCCGTCGCGCCGTCTCTTTTCCCGGATGCACTATTTCTGATCCACGTTACTTTGACACCGAGATTTGTACATTATTGTATTGATGCTTAACAGAAACATTGGAAAGGGACATGTATTCTTTTTTATTAATACAGGGAAAATAGCCAAGAGAAGCCTAGGAAGATGGATTGCCTGAATAACCATAAAATGTATGAGCAATAAGGACAAAGAGAAGAGGAATAACAGACGCGAATGTGTATTTATAAATCTGAAGTGAAATGTATTTTAACGTCATGTATGACAGCTAATAAATCCAAGAAGGAAAGTGTCTTTGCGTAATGAATATAAAAAAAAGAAAAATATGCATTAATGCATTGCAGAAAACAATTGAACTTACAGTTGTTTGTCTTTGACGAGATGGTAAAAAAGTTACTGTCCCTTAATTGACAACAGATGACAATTTTTACTGATCGAAATATTTCACATCTGCCTCTTACTTTGTCGTGGTTTAGACCTTAGAAAACGTCCAGAAATGTAAACGATACCGTTCGCTGGAAAATAAAGAATAAACAATGGATCTGCACCTTTAAAGATCCCAAAATGGCGAACTCATTCACAGCAGGTGGAAGATATCGGCCTAATTTAAACGACATTAATTATGTATCTAGCCGATGAATGAATTCGCAAATTAAAAAAAAAGGAATACTTTACGAGCTCGTTGTTAGTAACAGACTTTAATTACGTTTTTGTTTATTTTCATGGTAAAAGACAAACAAGGGATTCACCTGGCTCTTATTTTCTTTAGAAATATAGAGACAACATAAATAATTTATTCTAAAAACACTAGCTTTCGCCCGCGACTCCGTTCGCGTGGTATTTAAAAAAACGAAAGTGTGTAGCTTATGTGCTCTTCACTACCCTCCATATCTATACCAAATTTCAACGAAATCCGTTCAGTCATTTAGGCTACAAACTCTAACAAACATCCATCCATCCATGTAAACTTTCACATTTACAATATTAGTATGATTATCACATCATACTTACGCATTATTAATAACAATGATAAATTAAAACATTTCTTGTTAAAACAAAAGTAACCTTTTTGTTCACATTGAGGCAAAAAAATAATTCGATCGCCTATTAGTGTGTCGAAACTCATTTCCCAAAGGAAATATGTAAGTGCAATGTAAATAAATGGTTGCAAGAAGATTCATTGCTCCTTCTCGTGTCCAATTAGTGGTTTATTTATTACAAAGAGTGTCAGATCGTGTTCCTTGGCATAGTGAATTACGAACTTGTTGACATAATTAATGAGGAAGACTTGTTTTCACATGAAACTGCGTTAACCCTTAACTTATATTAAGCATTTTTTATTTTTTAATATATTCTCTCTAAAACAGGATGTCGATGCAGTTTTATAAATAAAAACTAGACTAAGTTACTATTCCTTTACATCGCTCGCCATAATTGCATTTCTTCGATAAGTCGCTTCTTTCGAACTAATAAATATTGATCGCTAACGATTCCGAGAACAGTGGCCGAGTAGCGCCATAGAGGACCAGTCCCCCAGCTTGTTATCCGACGCGACTCCTCGTTTATGGTTAGGCGTTCCGTTGATTGGGTTTATTTTGCGTTGGCAAATTGCAAATGGCGGCCGAGAGGCAGCCTATAATTTCTGGTTAGCGCGCATCGACCTCACTACGCTGATATGCATTGAACTGGATCCGTGATTCCCCTTTTTTATTTCATAATTCCATACATGACGCTTTTCCATTCGATGGCAAGCGATTTGCGAGAAAAAAACGTATGTGGAAAAGATCAAAGAAAGCTGATGCGGTCGTTTTTGTACCCGTTTATAATGTAATGATGTAAGTGTATAATATCTCGATAAAATCCGGTGAGCTTGAGCATACCAATTGTGTTTTATAGATGTCGCTTCCAATTTTGTCAACTTTGGTAACTATA